CCCTTGAGAGGTGAAGCAGAGACAGGGAGCAGAATGAAGGCCCAGCAATCCAAGAGAAAGGACCAGCAACCTGCTGCAGCACAGAGACCCACATATGGGGCTGGATCAGATTGACCTAAGGGTACCTAGGGAACTGGCAGAAGTGCTCCCCAAACCTCTTTCCATCATTACAAGCAGTCCCAGCTAACTGGACAGGTCCCAGTTGACTGGAAATTAGCAAATGTAACATCTATCTACAAGAAGGGCTGGAAGGAGGATCCAGGGAAATGCAGGCCTGACCAACATGCCAGGGAAGGTCAAGGTGCAGATCACCTCGAGAACCATCACACAGAACACTTAAGACAGTCAGGGGATCAGGCTCAGCCATCATGGCTTTATGAAAGGCTGGTCCTGCTTGACCAACCTGATCTTCTTCTATGACATTAGTGAATGAAGGAAAGGCTGTGAAATTTGTTAAGCTGGACTTTAAGAAAGACTTTGATACAATTTCCTACAACATTTTCTGGGAGAAAGTGTCTGCTCATGGCTTCAAAGGGTGTGCTTTTCTCTGGGAAAAATCTGACTGGATGGCCAGGCCCAGAGAGTGGTGGTGAATGGAGATAAATCCAGCTGGTGGCTGGTCACTGCTGGTGTCCCCCAGGGCTCAGCACTGGGTCCAGTCCTGTTTAATACCTTTATTGATGATCTGAATGAGGGGATCAAGGGCACCCTCAGTCAGTTTATGGATACCACCAAGTTGGGTGAGAGTGTTGATCTGCTGGAGGGCAGAAAGGCTCTGCAAAGGGATCTGGACAGGCTGGATCAAAGGGCCAAGGCCAACTCCATGAGGTACAGCAAGACCAAGTGCCAAGTCTTGCACTGGGGTCTCAAAACCCCATGCAATGCTACAGGACTGGGCAAGAGTGGCTGGAAAACTACCTGATGGAAAAGGACCTGGAGGCTCTGGTTGACAGCTGCTGAACATGAGCCAGTGTGTCCAGGTGGCCAAGGCAACCAATGGCATCCTGGCCTGTATCAGCAATAATTTGGCCAGCAGGACCAGGGCAGTGATTGTACCCCTGTACTCAGCACTAATGAGGCCACACACTGAATTCTGTGTTCAATTTTGGGCCCCTCTCTACAAGAAAGACATTGAGGTGCTGGAGCAAGTCCAGAGAATGGCAATGAAGCTGGTGAAGGGTCTGGAGCAGAAATCCTATGAGGAGAAGCTGATAGAACTGGGAGTGTTTAGCCTGGAGAAAAGGAGGCTCAGGGAGCCCTAATTGCTTTCTATAACTGCCTGAAAGAAGGGAGGCTGGAGGGAAGGTTGGTTGCAACCAGTTTGGGGTTGGTCCCTTCTCCCAGGTAACAAGACACAGCATAAGAGGAAAACACTTTGAGTTGTACCTGGGAAGGTTTAGATTGGATATTTGAAAAATTTCTTCGATGAAATTGTTGTCAATAACTGGAACAGGCTGCCCAGAGAAACATGTAGTCAGGAGCATGGTTCAGTGGTGGACTTAGCAGTGCTGGGTCAACGGCTAGACTTGATCGTAAAGGTCTCTTCCAACCTAAACAATTCTATGATTCTGTGATGACCAGATTGATTTCGTGTTCATTTCTCTATAACAGTAACTTGGCCAACAGCCTGCCGCTGTGATTAATACATTTGGATCAATGACATTTGGCACCTTTTTAATCATTATGTCAGGCATGCCTTCCATAAGAGAAGGTTTGTCTGCAGTCACAAAATAGCAGCACTGTCAGTGTGGTGGGATGTGGACATCACTGGCTTCCGACTTGTAACCCCAGGACACTGCCACACATTGTGATTCTTCTTAGTGTATCCTGGCACACATGGACTTTTTGCCTTTTTTTTTTAATTGTCAGTGTTTAATCTGTGAGTACTGAAACTGAGCACCAACAGTCACCTCTCACTGAAAATTTTTGTATGTGCTGCAGTTACCATGGCACCAACCTGAGCAGTTGATGTCTAAATATAGGGCAGAATAAAGAATATATCTTTTCAAATACTAATAGAATGAAGCAAAAATTGTCAGAGAACTTAGTGCTTCTATAAAGTGGAGTACTTAAAATACTGGCCAATTTCATAAAACCTAGATTAAAATACTTAAATATCGGTCATAAGATATTCAGTGTACTTTACTGGTTTTGATGGAACTGATCTGAAAAGAACTCACATTCTCAAAGAGGAAATTTTTGGATAACTCACAGCCATATGACAGAGCATACAGCAAGTCTATCAAAGGCCATATAAAGAATCAGCAAGAATGGCATTTGCTGAAAAAATATTGCATGTCAGAAACAACATGGAGATACTGCAAGGATTTTAGACAACTGGGCCCTGGTTTTCACAGAATGTCTGAACTGAGTATACTTGGTTCAAGAAAATCCTCATAAGCAGGTAACATCTATCAGGCTTAAACTGACTCACAAAGTGTGAATAAATACTATTAGGATTTCATGAGAGCTGCACTGCATGATGTGTGCTGAGATTGAGTTGTCTGTCCTCACAGCTTTTAGGAGAACATCAAACAAGGTATCAATGTCATAGCAATTTGAAAGACTGTGGTTCTTGCAGGACAAGTCCTCACACTCATTTGTATGAGTAGATCACCAGAGGCTCAGCTCTCAACAGTGACAGCGCTGCCCTCTCAGGGGTGAGCTACAGGGCCTCACTGGTGAATTAATGATATCATGCACTTTACTTTACCTACAAGCTCTCTGATGGTCTCATAGGTGGAAGGACTTTGGAAAGGCACAAAGCAACTTTTCAGATGTAAGATGCTAATTCACTCTTTTACTATCATGTAACTTAGCTCATGAAAATAAAAAATGTGTTAAATGAGAGAATATCTCCAATCCACTTCAAACTTTGCTGAATATTTAAACATTTCTATGTATTTTTGCATAGTTAAACTGTTGCTTGTAACAGCCCTGACATTCTGTGAGACTAACACCATATTTTGATGTGATTTTGAACAGAAACACTGTTCCAGTTCACTAGCTGTTACTGTATAGTCAGGGGAAAAATTATTGCAAGGAAAAGCACATTTTAAAATGTCAGAACAACTGTTAGGATTCCGAATGCAAATTCTGCCTGTTATACTCCAAATCCCCTAAACCACCAAGTGCAGAATCTCTGACTGCAGGGGTGCTTGGCACAATATGTGATTGGGCTGGTATAGAAAGAGACATTCTACACTTGAGAGTCTTTTTGGAGATTATTTTTAAAGGGAAGAAAACATTGGGAAATTTCCAAAACATATAATGGAGAAATACCGCTGCACAGGCAAGAGCCTTTCTTGCAGAATAATTTTATACTTTTCAATTAACCAAATACCTTTATTTTCACCAAATAATGAGTGAATCAAGACTTGTATGTGTTTCTCTATTACTTATCCATAAGCAATTTTTTTAGAGCCCTAAAATCCTCCTGTGCTGATATCTACATTTAGAAATATAAGGATACTGTGTTATATTCACACACTGCTCTTATAAAATGTCAAATAAATAATGAAGACATGGCAACTTGCCAGATCTGCATCTTACTCTGTAAGAGAGAAAAATCCTGAGCTAAACTGAGGTAGATGCTAATACTATAAAACTACCCTTCAGGTTATAAATCTTTGTGGCTCACTTCTGCTTTCTTAGTCAACATTTCTAGATGTGCATCCCTGGTCCCTCTTCATTAAAAACTGCCAGTCTAGAAATCAGATTACTCACTTGTGGGACTATGATTTAAGGAGGAATCTAGTAAAACTTATATTAAACTAACTTTACTTTATGAGGACAAAAGGACTGAGGCTCTAAAATTCAGTTAAATCAGCTTATCAGTAAACCATAATCTGAACTTCAGCACTAGGGAAGACAAATGTGACTTTATCAAAACTGAGTAGCCTTATCCACAGTATTTAATCCATTAAAAATAAAAATTTAAACTCTCCACTTTTCTTATGAATAGGTATTTCAAGTAGCTGAAATCCAGAAATATAGTACCCACTTTCAATTCCCACTGAATTGATGAAGCTAGGGGTAGTCTGGAGCTGAGCTCCTCCTAATCACACATACCATGTCTCTGCTTTGGCTACCAGTCTAGGCTGATTTGGAAGCTTGTATCATTAGAAAAACTCTCCATTTTTTGGCAGACAACACCAACAGAAGAAAATAACTTACTGGTTGCAAGACACTGGTGGATATTTTTCTAAACTTCATATTACAACTTCAACTATTCCAACCAAGTTTTCTGTAACAGATATTTGTTTTAGAATCTTTAAAAAATTGTTTCAATCCTCAAATTTGTTTTCAAAAAACAGCCAGAGTAAATACAAGCAATTTGTTTATTCCATGTTCAAAATATCTCGTGATTTTTCCAGCTGAAAATTTCACTCCTTCTGTCCAGAGCTTCGATGGGCACAAGGTTCTATGTCAAAGACATGCATTTTTCTCTAAATCTACCCATGTTTCTGCAGCACATTCAGTACCTAAATTGCCTCCAATTTCTGTTTATGCTGACAATGCACCAAGGAAATGCATCTCTGGCAGCAGTATGGGACTTTGACTGATCTATGTCTATGAGCTACAAGACTCTCTCCCGCACAGTGAATGAGAGACCCTCCTGGTACACCAAAGAAAACTATGGAGCGTAGTTCTGACAGTCTGGAGAAAGAGCAAGAGTCAGACTGAAAGGTAGACAGTAGAAATCAGGGAAAGGTGCCATAGTCTGAAGAGTGGCATGGGTAAAAAATAGATATTAAAATGTGAATGCAGAAGTGAATATAAAAGCACTTGATACAGTCACTTTATTAGCTGACAGTGTTGCTAGCATCAGCTGCATAAGGATTGGTATTTCCCACGTAAGTTTGGGATATTGATAGACAAACACTTAATCACAGAATGTTGTAAACTGGACTTTATAGACTTCCCTATTCCCACTAAATCCACAGTAATTGAACTGGGTTCTAAAAGTGAAAAATATCTTGCAGAACTTATAAGTATACCTTTTCTTTAGTAAAATTTTTGTCTCCTTTTCTAATTAACTTTCTTCTGCCAGTATCTCCCAAGGAGCCTTGCAGCATGACATACACATCTGCATCTGTTCCTGACCCAGGGATAGCTCCCGTGGTGATGTAGAGAACATAGATTTTCACTGTGGGGAAAAAAGAAAGCAAAGGTTTACTAAACATAAACCAGTTAAAATATATGTTATTTAATAAATTACTTCTATTATATTTTCACTTTTCATCCTATCTGGAGTAATCAGAGGGCCAAAATATAGTGTAATGCTTGGAAAAGCACGTAGATGCATTGTAATTAGAATTTAAGGGCAACTATTATAAAGAATAATAAGCTAAATAATTTGAGTGGGCCTGAAACACAGGCAGAAGAAAAAAATTAAAAATTTTTTAACCATAACAAATTGGTATAAAAGCCTGTAAATAATACTCTTATCACCTCTTGCATGTATTTAAATACATGACACTCCAATGAAAAAGTTTCTAGGCTATGGATGATGCTAAATCACTTAACAAGTACATCTGTGCTCAGAGCCTCATGGAGTTCAAACAAAGCTGGACTCTGTCAGGAAGAAAGCAACTTTTGTATTTCCTCTGGATCATGGTCCAGTCAGTGGCTGTTCACTCTGCCTGCACCAGTTGGAGTTATTGGCCTCAGGAGAGGAGATGACACGTGAGAGGACACACAGTGTGAACACACAACCCTTCAGCTGAGCACTCCTTGAAAGGCTGCTGATGTAAAATCCCTGCTTGTACTCCCAGAGAAATACATAACACATTGGTGATGTGGCCCCTAAAATAAGAAAGAGATCACATCCCCAAAACTTTCAACTCAAAAGGAGTAAAAAATGTGGGGAGAGGCAAAGAAAAAGTATCTGTCCTCACATTAAATGCTCTTCAGAAAAAGGAGCAGCATTTTTAAAGATTGAAATAACTGTGTTCTTCTGTTAAGAAATAAATCTAAGAACTATTTAAAAGCAAAGAATTTTGCCAGTGAATTTCCCATCAATACTTTCTCAAATTCACATTTAAGAAGCTTCTGTCTAAGTGCTTTATTTGATTCTAAATTTAAAAGCACAGCAAATGAGGCAAGAATACACAGACACTTCTTGCTTGTGCTTGATCTAAACCCTTAACTTCTGGAGTAGCCTAGGATATTGTCACAGTAGATTATTCATTTAGGATAAGAGTTCTTCCATTCTTCTCTAACTTTGGTTATAGAACCTTGTAAAAAACACAGAAAAAACCAAACATATCCAGTCTTGAGGGGACCAAGGCATAATGCTGATGGAGTTGGATGACATGCAGCTGCTGGGTCACAGGTAAAGAATGCCTGCAATTCTAGAAACACAAACAACAAAAGATCTATTTGGGGTAGGAGGGGCATGGATCTCCTTCTCGTCTGAAATTACAGCACAAGAGTTATCTCCTCTGTATTTCCCTTGCTCAGCCTGTGAGAGAACCAGATCATTTGAGTAAAAGCTAAACTCTGAATACTCTTCAAAACCCTTTTAATGGTTTCAGTACCATATGCTTGCTCTTTTATGTGTCACAAACTGATACCAATCAGACCTGAAGGCACAATGCTCAGTTTTAGGTTGTAAGATACTGGTTTTAAACGCTGGACTGGACTGGACCTAGCCATGGTGGAAATTAACAGAAAATATCTGCAAAATCCTTTGGACTGCTCTGAAAATTGGACATCATCACTGACCAAATCTCTTCCAGTGTTTCCAATTTGTGACAAACCTGCTGGAAAAGGAGACCCAGCTATGAGAACTGGAAGCTCAGTCACTCTTCCTCCTTCTTCATCGGCAAACTTATGACAAAATGGGAATTCTAGAACATTTTTAGTTTCTCTGTGTTGAAGCTTTACCTTATCAAAGAAACAAAAATAAATAACTTCAGCATCTGTTGCACTCTAACAAAAACTATAGCTAAAGACAAGCTATTAAACAGCTATGACACATCATTTCAGAATTTAAAATTAAGAAGAAATAATTTTTTCTAAAATGCTTTTGAAAACAGCCTTTTAAATGAGAAGGAATAAATGTCTTTCCCAATTAAAGGTAATTAAAGTGTTGTCAACATTATTGCTGCAGAGTCTGCAGTGAAAGAAAAAAATATTTGAAATTGTTCAAAAATTTTCCTTTATGTAACCTATTCATCCAGCATATGGAAGAAAAAGAAGTGTTGATATGGGCACATTTCAGCTTGTGTGAAATGTCAATATGCCACAATATTTTTCAGTGCAGAAGGTTTTCTTATTCTAAGTAACAGGAGAAAGGAAAAGAAACGTTTCTGGAAAAAAATCTGAAACACAAAAATTAAGAATGCTTTCTGAACGTGTGTATATATATCAGTACATATGTGCCTCTTGAATACATGGAGTTTGATACTAATTTCAATCTCTATGGAATTCTGTGTATAAACTAAGAAAATGGTGACCCTGAGCTAAGAAGCTTATGCTTTCTATAAGAAAACCTGTTTCAATAATGAGATATCTTGCAGTATGGTACTACCAGCTACACTGAGATAAATTCCCATTTTCTAAACTATTTAAACCTAGACCAGAGAACCTATTTGAAAATACTTTGTAGGAAGTAACCCTGCATTTAAAAGGGTACATATAATTCACTCATTTCAATTCTTTGTGACCTAACTCACTAAAAAATCCAGACCTTTAAGCCAGTAAGCAAAACCAACTTTGGTTAGGAGTTGTCACTGGGAGATGGTAGCATTATTTTGTCTTCAAAAGATTCTTAGCAATTTTCATTATGACAGACAAACTGAAAAGAGATTTTAAAATGCACTGTGAAGTATAATGCTAGCACAATTTTCCTTTCATAATACTATCTATATTCCTGAACAGTTTATTGAAACTCAGATTTTATTTACTGTGTTTTATTTCTTCAAGAAGTGAAAGAAGCAAGAATGAAGATATTAGCTATTACATGCTGCAGAAATAAGGCATACCTTAATTAATTTTGTTCTAGGCATTATTTTCTAATTATTTCAATTTCCTCAAAAAATCAGGATTATTATTCTGTAGTTATGGCTATAAGAATGAAGCCTGAATATAAATATGAAATTCAACCAAAGACACTTGCATTTACTTTTGATAGAAGGTGGAAATATCAGACTCTCTGCAGGTACAAAATCATAAAATCAAAACAAAACAGCATAGAAATGACCATGGTGATTCTAACCAGGAGTGCAAATACACTGCTAAGCTGTCTTTAATAACAGATATTATCCACAATGTCCTATACCAACCTAGTTATTTTATACAAGGATTCAGCCAGTTCTGCTATAAAAACTATGGAATAAGAGGAAATGTCTCCCTAAAACCCACATAATTGACATGTATCCCAAAGCAGGGAAATTTATAACTAATTTATAATTTCTTTCTCTACCTCTTCCTACTGTGCATCTTTTCCTATTTATTTAAATTATGCTGATTTCTCTTAAACTGAGCTTTGGGTGATTGTTCTGAGCTAATGAAGTAAAGCAGACTAATAGATGTCACTGTGTTCAGCTGCCAGGTTTCTGTTCTGAAATTTTTGCTATGATTTACTGTCTCCTATAATACTCCAGAAGCAGTCTTAATTTTGATAGATTTGTTGGATGACTATTTCATCTGGCTATGAGGATGAAATTAACAACCTGCCTACCATTTAAATGTCAGGGAGTTCAGCTCAGTAATACCATGTATTGGAAAGGAAAATTATTTTTTCTCCAGTTTTTAATAAGAACAAAATAGAAACATTAATGGACAAAAAACATGTCTGCAATTTTAAAGAAGATTAATCTTTCCTTTAGAATTGTTTTTATTTTTCCAGCAGAAGAAGATGAAGATATTTTTTTGTATAGAGAAATGCCACTGCAATTTCAGTGTGATGTCAGGTTTTAGCTGGATATCAGAAGAAAGATTGTCACTTTTGCTATTCACTTCTTTTTTTCACATGCCAACTTAAAAGGCAGATATTTTCATCAAAATGCATTTCTAGTGTCTGCCTTAATTATTTGCCATGGATCACTGACTCTACAACATGTAACAGCCAATTTGAAGTTATGTAAATACTGCAATGCATGCCAGTGAGTATAGTTCTGAAAAGACATCACTGATATGCTAAAGATGATAGCACATCTGTATATATGGCTCTCCAGAAATCCATCCAAGTTCACAAGATTTTTGTTATCCATAGCTATCCTAGTATTTCGAGCAGTCTCTGAAGTTAGCACCCTGCAACTGTTGCAGCTTCTGTAAATTAAAAATTTTGCAATCTCAGGACTGAAAACTGGAAGAAATAACAGTAGAATATGGAAAGAAAAAAAAATATATATATATAATAGAGGCACAATAAATAATTGCTTTAGGTTTTAGTTTTTACCTCACGGCAATGCCAACTCTCTCCTTCTCCAGATTCTTCAATTTCTAGTCGAACTTTGAATATAGTATTAAATTTCTTACTTAGTTCAATAGAAGTCTCGTAAATCTGCTCTTTGTTAAGGGATCCTTTGGGTAACGTGACTGAAGCACAAGTTCCTTTTTCACCACATACAGTTAGAGACATTTTAGGGTTCATGGAACTAGAAGAAATATCACTAGTTGTGACGTGGATATCCCAAGTCCCTGTTGAAATAAAACAGCAGAAAAAAATGAATGGGTTTGCTGAATATCCAAAATAATCCATCGATTTGTAACAGGCTGAGTTAGTGAGGAACTAGCAACTATTCTCACCTTTGTGCTGAGCTCAAATACTGGCACATGACAGGTTAACTCACTATTATTGATTTAGTGGAAAGCATATTGGGACATCAATCCTTTCATAGTGGTAGTTGATACTTTAGAGATGTGCCAGTCCAAGAGCACCGTGCAGATGAGACTGCCAGTTCCACATTAGAGACTTGTGAAGAGCCATGACAATCTGTTGATTTCTCCTCCTGCCCCTTATAAACATGTGATATTTTTAAATATTTTTTCTCACAAGTCACCAGCAGCATATTTTTTACAAGATACTACTGGTTATCAGGTTTGCTTTTGGTCAGGGAATATTTTCATTTTAACTTTTTTGGGATTTGCTTAACTGAACACGTTAAAATATGCTCCGTACATACTATAAGAATATGGTGGTGAGATAAACTGGTTCAGCACTTGAAAAGGAATATTTTTATCATACCTCACCACAATTATCATGACAGCAAAGTACAAAACTTTATCCATTACTTCTGTGAAGAAGTAATGTTTGCTGAGAGATTAAAAATAGTCCTATATAGCATCACATAGATTTGTCTACTTTAGGGACTCAGGAAACACTCCGTGAGAATTTTTACTAGGTCTTTTTGAAGCATTTAGTCACTTAAACACTGGAGATGAATTGACAGATCCCTGAAGGCACAGAAAGACTACAGTCTGGTGTCAGGTAGGCTCAGTAACTTTGGCAACCTTATGTGGAACATATATTTGGTTAAAATTTCAATCAACAAGACAATTTTGAAGATCAGAAACTTCATCCAAAAAATCTCACTGATTTAGCTTTAATATTTTAATTCATGTTAATAGAATATATCGAAAATAGAGGGTTATCTATGTCATGGTTTCAATTTTAAAAAACTGTGAAAATCAGAATTTTTGGTCACCCAGGCTATTGCAGAATTGAGCAGAATTTTATTAATAATATGACCTAACTCTGTTCATGCAAAGTGAGACAAAGTATGGATCTGATAATTACAAACAGCTATTTTGTAAAAGAGGTTGTTTTACTTTGAGTAATGGAATCAAAGACTCCTGGAGTTTATGCCCATCAACTCCAGCTTCCTACCTCAGCTTCAGAATGTTCAGTCAACCCTACCTCACCACAACAGGAAAGTCTTTGTCTCCTACTATAACTAATGCAAATAAAGCTTTATTGCTTTAGTTCAGGTGAGAATCTGTGCCATAAATACAGCACCTGTTGACATAAAAATTTAGTACTCACCATCTGTAAAATCATCTAAAATAACTTCAGTGTTACGACTTCATGAATAATCCTAAATCTGTTTTCACGCCTATGAACACTAAATGTAAATGAAAGCAATGATATCTGTGAAAAAATGGAAGTCAAATAAAAATTTATCACTTCCCATGTGACCTAATCTAGGATATTTTACCCCTTTATTACTGTAATACTTGGTCTTAAACTATCAATCTATACACAGCTGTCCAGAAATGGAAGGACTATGTCAGTTGGATAGTACAGTGCCATAGGCTGCTATAACACATAAATTAAATTGTATCATTTCTGATAAATTTGCTAAGATTCAACTTAAAAGCAGCTTCCTTCCTTCTCCTTAGTCAAGTATAAAGAAATGTATTGGGTTTGTGTGGCCACATTTTGGTAGCAGGGATGGCTTCTGTGAGAAGCCATTAGAAGCCCCACCCTGTGCAGCAGAGCAAATACCTGCTTGCTCCAAGACAGACCCACCCTGGTCAAGGCTGATCAGTGACGGTGAGAGCACCTCTGGGATAAGGTATTTAAGAAAGTGGGGTGGGAAGTCTTGCACAATTGCAACTGGAGAAGAGTGGGAAAATGCAAGAGAAATAATTCTGCAGTTCCTCAGGCCAGTGGAGAAGAAGGGCGAGCAGAGATTCCCCTGCAGCCCATGGTGAAGACCATTATGAGGCAGCTGTGTCCCTGTGGCCCATGGAGGTCCACAGTGGACCAGAGATCCATCCACAGCCCATGGGGGATCCCATAATGGAGCAGGTGGATGTCCAAAGGAAGATGAGACCTCATGGGAGGGTGCACTGGAGCAGACTCCCAGCAGGACCTTATGGCCCCTTGTAGAGAGCCTGTGCTGGAGCAGGTTTACTCCTGAGGGACTACACCGTGTGGAAGGAGCCCATGCTGGAGGAGTTCAGGAAGAACTGCAGCCCGTTGGAAGGCCTCACTTTGGAGAAGTTTGGGGAGGACTATCTCTTGTCACCTCGTCTTGGAGTGGAAGATGAAAGAGCAATAGAGACAACATAATAAATTGACTGCAAGCTTCATTTCCTGTCCTGCTGCACAACTGCATGGGAGGGGGTAGAGAAAATTGGGAGTAAAGTTTAGCCCAGGAAGAAGGAATAAAGACATTTTTAGATTTGGGTTTAGTTCTAATTCTCCTACTCTAATTTCATTGGTAATATATTAAGCTAATTTACCCTAGTCATGTCTGTTTGGTCCATGGCAGTAACTGCTCAATGATCTCTCTGTGTCCTTATCTTGACTCATGAGCCTTTTATTGTGTTTTTTTGTCTCCTGTCCAGCTCAGGACATAAAGGATGAACAGCCTTGATGGGCACCTGGCATGCAGACTGGGTCAACCCAACAGAGTGCAATGCTGAAAATCTAATCTTTCTTTGTTTCTTTCTCAGAGATCTTTTCATTCTCTCATAAAGCCGTTAGTGGACTGCTGAAACCCATTTATTTTTATGACAACTTTGTTAGCTTAAATAACTCTCCTCTCTCCTTGATGTGTAAGCCACCATTAATTTAATAGATCACTACTGTGCCCATTTTGAGCATTTCATTAGCTATTCTGAATCTGTCACTTTTTTTTCAATACCCTTTCACAACAAAGAATTGCCATTTTCTCAGTCATCATGTCTTCTTTACAACTATTCCAGCTTGATCCAGTCCTTCTGGACAGAAGTGGCCACAATTACACACAGCATTGCTGGTGAAATATCACAGTTTCTCTGTAAAGCCAGTAATCCACTTTGATTTTCACTGATAATGCCTGCATACACTGTGGGGTCACAGTGACCCCATAGCCATGTCATTTACTGCCTCAAAAATATCTTGTGATCTTATAACAAACCCAGGTATTTCTCATAGTCCTTCTACTGATGAATTTGTGTAGCAGGAATTGTTACAAAACATGGCAATACAGATCAAATACAGTTTTTGGACCCTTAGCTGCTAGTTAGTTCCTAATTATTGAAAAAAAAAACCAAAACAAAACAATTAAAATTAGGACCATGTATCAGAATCGAGAGCTCAAATAGCTAGCTGAGTTTACATCTAATTGTATACAAGCTGCTTGCCACAGAATTCTGTTCAATTCCCGTTCTTCAGTTCTCAAAGTTTATCACTCAACCTCTGCGTCTCCTGATAGCACTCCCAGCTTTGTAGCACCAAAAGATTTCATTAGCATATTCATTGTCTCTTCTCCAGCTCTTTACAATTCTTCCTTTACTACTACTTTTCACTTTCTTGTTGTTACCTAATAATTTCCCATAGAGAAAATAAAATTCAATACAGGAATTTAGACAGATTAAATGTCATTACATTTGTCTTATGCAAAATATTTCTGTATCATAATTTTTTTACTGTCTACCTTTAGTAAAGATGGTGCATTTCTTCTCATTTCCTATTTGCCTCTATTGTCTCAATTTTTCATTTCTTCAAAAGTGTGTTATAAAGATTTTCATGTGAACAATTACTAGGGTAATATTCACCTACATTATGCTTTCTATTCTTTAGATTGAAGCATTATGTTTGCTGATGTTAAGTCTTCATAAAATTGTTTTAAATCCTTGCTATTACATCTGCCACTGGACTAACAACTACCCTGATTGTCACTGTTTGAGTAAATGGAGCTCAAAGCTCTATTTGTGTTTCAGATTTTCTGATTTCCAGTAAGCTCATCCCATTAGTAACTGTGCTTTTTGCTTCCAACAGTGCTTTTTGCTTGGCCAACATTATGGTTCCTTAACGAGAAGAGAGACAAAGTATTCTATTTGTTTAGGGATTATACCTACATGATCTTCAGTCTGGACTCTATTGTTCCTGAATAGTTACTTATTTTTGAAGGTTCCTTTAATGAGTAAAGGGTTGAAGAACCATTACTATTTCTTTTTCTTCTTTTACAAAATCTGATTTAGCTTGAAATTTAGTAAATTCCATTGTATCCATATAGTTTCTGACCCCTAAGGTATATTGCTCTTTGCTGATTTGTCTTTTATTTATCTATTCTTCATAGGCTCTCTGTTCACTTGTCATATTAATTCTGGATTTATTATACACCCAGACCAAAAATGATTTTCAATAGATACAGCACTGAGTATTAATAACCATTGACTTGAAATTATTATCAAATCTGTACTCAGGCTTTTGAAGACTATGTCTGTGTGTGGGAAACCAAGGAAGGAAATTGTTTTTACACAGCTATATTCAGACATTAATCAAGGTGCATAAACAAGGATGCAAGATTTCTCTCACTTTTCATAGTGTCAGTGAAGAAAGATGTGACAGATTTTGATCAGTTGGGCTTCTTCTCTGGATTTCCCTGAGGAGACACCTGCCTCGCTCTATGGACTATGTAGGACGCCTATGGAATCTACTTAATAGAGACTTAGAATACTTGCAGTGGTGAAATACAGCTATTTCTTGTTCTGAAATTGTCTCTACTCTAGCTGCCCATAATATGCTAATATTTCCATGGTTTTCTGTTCTTCTGTAGTATCAGTAACATAATTTCTGTTTTGTTAGATGATATAAGATATTAATGAGTGGACTAACTATAGGTGACTAAATATGAGGATATAATCTATGAGTCTTATCTGCAATTATGTATCGTATAAAATTCTCTGAACATAAAAGGAAATATGCAGGATCATGGAAGTTAATAGAGACCGGTTTACAAAATGGCTGATACAGAATGCAAATTCACACCTTCAGCTTAGTTAAACTTTACATAGCTTGGTCTATCAGTTCTGATTCAGTTTTCATAAATGGACCCAAACCAGCATTTTACACCTCTTCAAGAAAGACACACGAGAGAGCTAAAAATTACAGTATCCTGGCAAAGCATGTTTTCAGTGTCTAAGTTGTTTCTGAATTTTGGTTGTTTGTCAATTAAACAATTTGAATAGAATATTGAGTTCAGGTCAACTAACTGTTTGTGAGAACTTGTGCCATTGATATAAGTAAAAAAGAAAACTGCAAATAAAAGCAAATGCTTTCTGCAAATGTATGAACATAAGGGAAAATCTCATTCTGCTAAAAGAGTTTTTGTATCTCTTGTGATTTCATCACTGTTGCAGGAGCCTTCTGCTCTGCATTGAATGCCATATGGAACAACCTACTTCTTTCTGCTTCAGCTTTTTTCCTAACCTCAACTAAAATCATAGTACCTTCATTGCCTCTGTCACTTAATATCTCCCTTATGCTCTAGTTTTAATTCCCTGAGCATTGTAATTGCATTTACCATCTCAGGAAAGTGTTTGGAGAGACAATTGGTGTGAGAGAGGCAGTTCACATTCAAGCTATACTATTTCTGTAGTTTGGTTTTAGCCTTAAAAATAACCAAAATTATGGATTACAATTAAAACCAAACCTGGAAGGAGTTTTGAGGATTTTGGACCTTACCATAAATCTTTCCTGTCAACACTCCATTCCTGACTTTTCCAAGAAGTTTCAGTGTTCGTTCCATCTGTGCATCACCAACTCCACTGTCTAACCATTGCTGGCAAAGAAATACATATTGTTCTTCAGTCTTGCCTGATTCATGGATGACAATTTGGTCAAGGTACCATCCAGCTCCATAACCCACATTATGGTGCTCAACAAGCACTTTGCTTAACTGTCCAAGGTCTACTGCTCTCATTTCAGAGATACAAACCTGAGGAGATAGAGGCAAAAAGAATAGCAAACTGATTAGACCGTATACCTTATCTTCTGTCTTTGAGAAGTTTGCATTTGGAAAGACAAATTCCTTTCAATGCTGAAATACCTTTTTCTGAGAATAAGGAAAAATGTTATAGGTTGACATTCTTATTTGGAGAACCTGTTCAGAAACTATGTGGATCCTTGAATATATACATTTTGTCTTCATCATGATCACTGCAGTTCAGGTTTTATTACAAAAAACATCCCTTTGTTTCAGGTAGAAACAAACCTTTGGTCAAAAAACCTACAGAAAGCTCATGAAAATTAAAGTTGAACTAATCCCTCATAAAGGAAACAAAGGTAGTTCTTCAAGAATCAGGATAGACCTCTTAACTTAAATTTCTGCTTGTATAAGGTATAAAGTATTTTCAAGTATTTTACATTTTAAGACATCCTATTATTCAAATAGGAAATGTTGTATTATTCAACTCTGAACAGAAATACTGTTGATGGCTATGCAAACAAAGGAAGATACTGACATTAGAAACTATAACTAAGGCTGCACACGCATACAGGCAAGAATTGATGTGCTCCTCGGATGTAAATAGACATCTGTTTAAATATTGCTACGGCTACCAGTAAACAAAAGCTAAATGGCAGCTGCACTAGTGCATGTTGGGATGAATAAATTATGTGAGTGAGAGAATGAATGTGTTCTGTGCAAGATAATATAAGTGGGTGGGTAGATACATGGGCATGTGTGTGGGTGACATTAAAAAAACCCCAGATGGATAGCAGAAACAGACGCTATAATTTTTATTTGTTGCCAACCAATTTGCCACCAGGCAGGAAAAAGGATGAGGACCAGAAAGCAATGAAGGAAGAGATGATTTTTACAATGAATTATGTCATCTCGTCCATTCTCCTGCCTGTGTCAGACTATTCTCCACAATGTGATCAGAAAAAGAAAACATCCAACTTATTATTCCTAGCACAGCCTTAGGACTTCCAGCATTCATACCTTGTTATATCCACGATATCCTCAAACAGTTACCATGGCAAGTTATACCCCTGCATGTTAGTAGATGTAGCCCAAAATAAGATCTAGCTGGGAGGAACATCTTGCAAATAACTTTTCGGGAGCACTCATTGCTTTTTAATTTTATTCTTTGTAGTTCCAAGCCAAATATAATTTTCCTGTCAGTCTACATGACCTTTGACTTAGAGGAAATATCCTGTATTGCTAATACTCATGTTCCTTCTCAGCTAACTCTAACTGAGAAAGGGACCTATCATTAGTTTCATTCTTTGTGATAATAATTAACATTCATTAGACAACAGTGGTCATAATCACCCATTGTTATCAATGAATTCTCATAATAATACATTAAATTGCCTGCTCCCTCAGCATTAGTAAGAATGTACTATTGGTTGATGTCATTGCATTTCTTTTTTTCCCTTCAGTATAAAGACATTTGGAACTGTATTAAACACATTACTGGAAGTACAATTAATGAAAGCCAAAAGGATTTTATTTAAGCTGTTTTGCAAACCCATTTTAATCTGTTTTCTTACACTTGGTTGAAGTTTTCTGTCTTCCTTGCTTTTCCTTCTATTGATGTTCTTATCAGTCAAGAGAGATCCCTTTTTTCGTATCTCTAGTTTCCTTAACTTTGTTTTCTTTGCCTGTCCATTCCACATTTTTCAAGGATATTGCTGACATAATCTTGTCTCTCAAGACAGCTTGCCCTTTACATTCCTTCTTTTCACCTTCTAGTCTTAGAAACTCTTACTGAAACCTCATTCCAACTTTTTTATTGATGTACTTCTATGTAAAAGGAATGTAAGACTGGTAGTAGTATTTTAAATTGCAGATCCATCTAGTCCATCTCATATAGCGTTGCCAACAGCTACCACTAACAGATTTCTGTGGAAGAGTTGAAAAACAGGGCAAATACACAGAGATGCTTCTTGAATATAAAGTCTCTAAGCATTTTGCAATTTGTGGTTCAGAGATTGCCTGAGCAGAGATTATGTCTTCGCACTTAACAGCCTCAGTGGAAAGTTGTCTTCCATGACAATGTGCAATGGCTTTTTGCACCAATATGCCTTTACCATCTGCAACATCTTGTGCCAGAAAGTAAAATGTATTAATTACACATTGAGCAAAAAGCCACCTCCTTTTGTTTTGAATCTGCCACCTGTACATTACATTGAATGCTTTTGAGCTGTTGTAGTTCACAAAGAAATATAAATGTTTATTTTCTCTATGCCATTTTATATCTTTTGTCTCCCTCACCTTTCCTCTCATCATCTCTTTTCCAGACTAAACATACGTGTTTGCTTCACTGTTCTTCGTATGAAAGGTATTTCATATCACTTGACATTCTTCTTGCACTTTTAAAGACAAGTAAATCAACAAAACACAGCATCTATTATGCATCTGCACTAGTGAAAATCTTTGGAGGCATGATTGTGTTTTCTGTCTTGAAGTGGCTGGATTTTTTTGTTTTGTTTTTTTTTAATGGTTTCTAAACATTTTTTTGTTCTGTTTTCCTTTTGTTTTGCTTCTATTGAAATGATATCCTACTACTATCATATTTCAGAGCCCATGGTTTTGCATGCAAATTTAAGGGGTTATACCTCCTCACAGCCACTGCTTTTCATTTAGCTACAAAGAATTAATTATGCCATTTTATTTCCCATTCACTGTGTATGAGGTTCTTCTGCAGTCTTTGCTACCAGCTTTAATATTTATTACCTTTAATAGCCCAGTATGGTCAGGACATTTTGCCATCCCACTACTCAACCCTTTACCAGGAACCCATCGAACAATGAAGAACCTGAACACACAAAATACCTAAGCTGAAGAACACTTTCATTGTCTGCAGCACAAAAACTGCTCCTGAAAAATAAGGAACTGCTGGGGAAGACACTGAGCACTCTGCAGCTCAATATAGTGTCTGTGAATTTTTTATCACTAACATCTGTATCACTGATTTTGTATTAACATCCAGTATGAAAAGTCATGTGAATTATTTATTTTAGACTTCTTTTCCAGATTATGTCACTGACCATGTGACTTCACATCTTTGATTAATCCTTCTAGTTGCCCATAAACATTTGTCCTCAAAAATTCCAAGGATTAATCTGTATTTTTAATAATATTATCCAGACAATGAACATCATAACGCTCTTTCTATATTGTTATAGCACACTTTGGGCTAAGACAGCAGGATTCTGAAAAAAAATGGCATCTGAAAAAAAATGGAAGTATTATTGAAGAGTCAGAACAACATATGGAAAAGTCTAAGTAGGAAGACTAAGAGACATTCTTCTTTGCAAAGAATAATGCAGCAATACAAGTGCACAGAGGGTAAACGTCTATAAAGCAAGAGAGAATCAAAGAGAAAGTGAAATGGAAGAAAATGTTCACTTTGTCTTCCAAAGAAAGACGTGGAATGAGATTGAAGTAGTATGTGAAAGTTTAGTTTTGCTCAGGTAGAAGGTCAAGAGCGATTAAATTGACACAGGAGACTATGGACACTTACCATATGTCTATAGAAGCATTTATACAAATTCATGGAAGAAAAAGTATCAATGACTAGAGTATGACTGGAACAAAATGATGTGGCTGGTTTCTAAGTTTCTAAGCTCAAGAAGACACAATAAATCTAGTGATAGAAGAGTTAAGTGCAAGGCTAGGAAAGCCGTGGAACAGGTTGCCTAGGAAAGTTAGGGCATCTCAGGCATGAGAGTATAAGAAACAGTATGAAAACATGCAGAGGATTCTGCTTCGTTATACAGGATGAATTGATCTAGTGCTCTCAGTTCAGGGTATGGGTGAACATGCTGTGTAGATATAATCACTAATGTGGTAAAAAGCAAAGGTTAACCAGAAAGACTCTCCAAGGATTTATCTGGAGCAGACAATTATGTTTACAACCAGGTCTACCTGTTTGCAATTTAACAGATAAATGGATTAATCAACATATAGTAGCTAACATGTTAAAAATCTTTCTTTCAGCTCTATCTGGGTGGATTAAAAAAAAAGAATTAAAGGAGCAGTTACAGAAAATAGCCCTGATATTTCTATACTAGCTTCATAAATAAGTGAAAATTAAGCAATGGAATTTCATATATCATTGGATGCAGTTCCAGATTCTAAGAACATTTACTGAGAGTTTGTGAATTTTAAATTTATTTGTACTCAAACTATTCCTAAACTGGAATCTCAATTCAGGTAAAATGCTTATACTTAGCAAGCAACACATTCTTTCCACGGGTTGCCAGAGTGTAACATCCATGCTGGTATTTCATAACTGGAAAGAAATACGATATTAGAAAATAAGAAAATTAAATACATTAAAAAAAAAAAGTAAGGAAAATGGCTCAGTACTAACCTGCCCTCTTTCAAACTGTGAGTACCCTAGTCTCCTTTTGCAGGAATCTCCCCACTCTCCAAATACTGTGATAAACACATCTGCATCAGTTCCTGATGCAGGCAGTGCTCCTGTATGGACACTGATGAAGTAAAGGACTTCTGCCATGAAAAATCAGTGACACAAGACATTACCAAATGAGATTATTAGCAATGTAATTATCAAACATTATAAACCAATATATTTTAGGTATAAGATTAATTTCAAGACCGAGGAATTAAGTTATAGGAATTGACATCAATTTTCCAAGTTTCCTATAGACTGCTAGCTATCTCACAGCACACACTACAGCATTATGGATGAAATGTCTTCTATGAATCAATTCAAGAATCCACGCTTGCATTACAAAAGGAGAAAATATCCTACTTCTGGATTCTGGAATCTCCTGAAAAACTCAGACTGGTTTTATCATGCTTTGTAAAAAAAACCCAGGAGTTCTTGTAGGAATTATAGGTCTTAAATCGAGGATTTATTAACTCCAACATTTTACCAAGGAAAAAACACAGACACAGATGATAAAAAGCACTTTTTGTTCTGGATCAACTGAACTGTGTTTCAATCTCATATTTTGAGAATTATGGCCAAGACTATTTAATATGTTCAGCAGAAATGGCTCAGCTATTTATACAAATATGCATTGTTATTATTCTTCACAACAAAGAATGGCTTGCCATGACTTTTGTCTGATGAGTTATACAGTACGTATTCCTTGAGGCAGCATGACAGAGGATTTTTAATGGGTTCTGTGAATGTTAGACTCTTAAGATATATTTCCATTTACAGTCTAGCCTCCAGTTAGATATTACATGCAAAAAGTTTTAAATATTTTAACTAAGACTTCTGTTCACAGTGTAATGAATGAGAATTCTTTTCTACATATTTCATAAAATGTAATCTGAACAAAGGAAGATGTTATCATATTTTAAATACAATGATGAAATGAAATATGGCTTCAGAGGCAGAAATAGGGCTTGAAGAGAACATAAAAAACCCCTGTATTTTCTCTTTGTGATTCATGCCATTACGACTTTGTACCTGCCTTTTTTTAATCTGTGAATTAGTCCCTCATTAAGTGTAAATCAGCCATTTTCTGAAAACTGCCATGCAAATATACTAAGCAGGCTTTGTGCATTTTTCAGACTTTCAAAATGGTACTTAGTCTAGTGAAAACAATACATGTCAGTTGTTTTAAAACAGAAGAAAATGCTTTAACTAGATACCTGTACACTTCTGGGGCCAGCTCTGTTCAATATCTTTATTGATGGCATGGATGAGGGGATTGAGTCTTTCATTAGTAAGTTTGTAGATGATACTAAGCTGGGAAAAAGGGAAATATAGGTTGTATATTAGGAAAAAGTTTTTTACACAAAGGGTGATAAAATACTGGAAAGATCTGCCCAGGGAGGTGGTGGAGTCACTACACCTGGATATGTTTAAAAAAAGATTGGATGTGGCACAAGGTGCCATGGTCTATTTGAGGTGTTAGGCCATGGGTTGGACTCGATGATCTTGGCGGTCTTTTCCAACCTAGTGATTCTGTGACCCCACAGTTTATTGAACAGAGAGTTAAAAGTAATTTTGAGTGGTTTTTAACACATATAAAATGCTTTTCAATCTTGTGCCTTGTGTTCATCCTATTAGGCAGTTTACAGTTCTCTGTGTGTGCGTGCATTTGCTCAAGTATTTTTTTTTTATTACAATAGCATACCCCTGAGAGGTGGCTGGTCTGGCCTGACCGCAGCAAGCTCTGTCACGGTCTCAGATCCATCTTCTCCAAACAGACATGAGGCTTCACTGTGAAAGCCCAACTCTTGTTTAGTGTCCAGGTCTTTGAGCTGAAGCTGCAGGTAGAATCAAAGAAAGAAATTAATTTATTTGAATTATTTGATTTCCTATTTCTATCCCAGTACAAACTGACCTTTTTTCTTTTTACTCCTGCACACACTTTATAACAGCTGTCTGATTCTGCATAACAGTTAGAGCAGCTTCTTCAAGCTGTTAATTCTGCAGCCTGATGTTTATAGGTGTATTCTTCATTGCATATCAACACAAGCATAGGACCCATTTGTAAATAACGAATGAGAGATACAGCTTGAATTGACCTGCATGTGTTTGCAATTCCAGAATGTCAAATGAATGAATACAGTTACATCAATCTAAATAGCATATGTCCATTTTGAAAAAACATTTGCTTTGCTACTTTTTATTTTTTTAAATGTCTTGCTATATCTCAGGTAGGATTTTCAAAGTTGGCAGAAATTAGGTGCCCAGTGTGTTTCATGGCTGCCTGTGGAAATAAGTTATTTGAAGAATGAATTTCAATAGAATGGGCAAGCTTAGGTCTAGCTTCATTCTACTTGGCTTTAAATATTTATTGGAGAGTGAAGAAATTAGATTCCAAGTGTGTGGACTTAGAACATCCAAACCAGCTGAGGAAGCACAGCCTTAGGAGCTCACATATCCCTGCTGAGAGGGTCAAGGTGGAAATCAGATTCACAGGAGGTCAACTCAGGTCATGTACTGTATCCTAGGTCAGGTTATAAAATACAGAGTAAAAACCTATAAAGTATATGAAGAAACATTTGTGGTAACTATTATGTGCAATATTGAACTTCATAAATAGCCAATGACTGCAAGTTTGCAGAAACGGTTCCTTCAGTCTTCAGGATCTCTTTGTATAGAAATAGCATATCCAAGACATTTAAAACAAAAGGAAACAAAAAGAAACAAAAACTTAATTTCAATAGGACAGTAAGTAATTGGAATTCTTAGGCAGGGATTCCCAAAATTATTGTAGTCACTTCTTTCCACTACTGACAGCAGCTGCAACAGCAAAACTTTGTGCTCATCATACAGAATAAACACACAAGTGTTTAGAAATCCTGAGTACAGGTTTCCTCACATGGATTTCAACTGCAAGCTTTGAGATGTATAAATATTTATATAATTGAATGAGATAAACTAAATTATTGGGAATTTGACAGTTCCGCTCTCAAAAATTTTGTCAGATTGTGTTGCCCTTGAGTTCTTAGAAATGCAATGACCTAACAATTTCCATTTCTGCCTATTCATTCTGTGCAGTGATTTACAAGATCAGCCACAGGGCTTCCAGATGAAAGTAAACAATACCCCATAACAATTTCTGGACTTAAACCATTAATTACTTGAATAAAAGGTAGATTTATTTAGGTAGTATTAAATTCCACTAAAATTGCAGCCCATTGTTTACAAAAAACAGGTATTTTTTGCACTTGCAATAACAAATTTTTTTATATTAAAGGTATAACTACTTCTTATACAAAATATTTCCCCCTCACTTCTATCAATATGTGCAATCCTAAATATCAATACATATTACAAACTCCTATCTGTCTTGAAATTGCACCAAGGTTTACCTGCATATGCAGGCAGACAGCCTGCAGATACTGGATTAGTAAAAATTATGTGTGTAGATTTATGCAGACTTTGGCCTTCAAATAGAACATACCTGACAAATTCTTGCTAGTTCTAAGACTACATCTAAGTGTAGTCTTAATATTCAAATAATACAGTGTTCCTATATTCTAAACAAATGTAAACTATGGGTTTGTATTCTATTTTAGGAAAGACCAGAAACTCTTTTTGAGCAAGAAATAGCTACTGATTCTATAGTACACAAATCTTCAGAAGTTACAGGAAATACATAAATTTTAGCTAACATTATATAGTTCACTACAGAATTTTGCAGAAAACTGTATGAGATAGCAGGAAAAATTCTGGTATTTGGAAGAACACTGTAAACATCGATCTAGAGAAGACAGAGTAGCAAAATGAATGTAGGGATTTTTGTCTCCTTTTTGCAGTTTCATCTGTGTTTCTGAGAAATTTCTGGAACTTTGAATATTACTTCTTTCACTTAAAAAGGAATCAAAGAAGGTAATTTTATTTAGTTGGGGCTGGGTTTGACCACTGGTTCATACTAAGCTTACACATCCTTACAGCTGCCTGTTATTTTTCTTTTTCTATACAACATCTCTTTTTTTCTGCACTGGAGGAATCCTACTCTAGTAAGACCATCTCATTACACTTTAGATTATGCTTCCAGGAATAGCTAATTAATAAATAGACTAATAAATTACTATTAAATATTATAAACACATTTATGGCAGAAGCAATAGATATTATTGTGGCTTGTGCTGTGGGTTGCACATGCATGCAAGAAACTACTTAGGTCTATAGCAACCTATTGACTTCTTGTAGATTGTAACAATTTATAGCTACTAATAAACCAATTATTAAATGAATTGTGAAGTATCTGAAAGTACAGACAAAAATCATTTAGCCAGCTGCATAGGGTTGTTTTGGAAAAGAAAGCAGAAAGCAAACTATTACATTTATGAATTTTCTGCCATGTTTTGAGCCACCAGGTCTGGAGGCTGAAGTCATATATTTCATAATGGATGTTTTAAATATAGTGTCAAAATATTTTTTGAATGCTTTATCAAATGGCCTGGAGATGCATATTTAAAATGAGAAATTAGCTTTGCTTACCCATTCTTTCCATTTTTATAGCCTAAACAGAGAGTACAATATTAACTGACACAGAACACAGTTGGGGAGAAAATATAAGATAAGCACCTCCTCTATCCCCAGAGGAGCTTATAAATTCAGACTGAACGTTCCTTTGAGTGCCACAAGCCCATTCACATTTTAGTCTGGAATGAAGCTGTCTCTAGCATTTCCCGTCAGAAGAGTTTCTGGAGTCTTCATGCATTTAAGGAATCACCTTGATCATTCAAATCCATAGCAGGGTTAAGGGACTCTGTGGCACTGTTCAAGAAATCATTCTTTTTACTTCAGATTAATTCAGTGCTACGTCCACAGTGGGGCTTTTTGCCCTTGCCTATAAGAAGAGCTCATTGACACAATTTTTCCTTGAATTAACCTTCAAGTTTAAGTATTAAGGATACTTTTAAATTCTAATTCTATTTTAAGATTGACAGCATTAAGTCCTTTCTCCATTCCTTTTTATGAGAATTCTTAAAGATGTATTAAACTCCAATCAGAGGTTTGAGACCCACTGATGGCCATATTGCAAAGAATAGACACTGAATGTTATCTTAATTGGCTTCCACAGGTATGTTGGTCTGTGTGGAGACTGTCAGTATATCCATGCAGGAATTAACATTTCCTAACACCAGCAGGAAACACTGCCTTCCATGGAAGGATGAACTGTGCGTCACTGCACACCAGTGAAGAGCTTTGGAAATATGTACTTCAGCAGGTGCAAACAAGGTCGAGCTGTCCACAAAGAGATCTTCAAGCTGTAGGCAGTCATCTGTAGATACCAGGTAACTGAGACCATCTGAGTCTCAACAAAAGTTATTTACTGTTATGTTGAAAATTATTGCAAGTTTATATGTGTTATATTTTGAATACCTTGTGAAGTTTAATTCCTCTTCTCAAGGATGGACCACATAACACAAAGGAGATTTTTGTTATATCTCCAATATCACCAGTGGTCAACTGTTAAAAAAAATAGCAATAATTAACTATAAGTCATCTGCAGCAGTTTGCATGGCACAATTTAAACCCCAAAAAAAGATAAATACAACAGGTAATAATATCAGTCAATGAGGTCAGTGATAGGATGACAAAGTTCTATTAAGAGTGCAAGTTAATTCAGAGTCACATTTGTATCACAAATTATGTCTATTTTTTACTGAGGGAAATGGTTGCAGAGCATAGGCCAACACAACAAAAGGAAGGAAATGGACAATTGAATTCTATATTTTCAAGGCTAGTTTTTTTTCCCTGACTTAATTAAAAGTTAATGAGGTTTTCCACATCAAATTTGACATTTCCTCAAGAGAGTTTTCCTAAGTGACATGTTTTGGCCCACAAGTGAGAAGTTCTCCAAGCTGTGTTTATTTCAGACACAGACATATAAACATGACAAGCAACCAGTACACATAATGTCATACATATTGTCTACAATTCTTATTTTACTGAAACTATTTGGTAAGACTTGTATGAAGTAGAAAAGAAACCAACCAAAAAGGGAATATCACTTAGATTTTGAACTTTCTGTGCAGGGGATTTCCCTTTTCTTCCAAATGCAACAACTTGAATGTTAGGAATGTCTTCTGGTACTTGTGTGCAGTGCACCCATGTTTGCCATCTTCCTCTACTTTTTGTATCTAAATTTTCCATGGGAAGAGATGCCACAGATGTTTCTGCAGTAAAAGCAGAATATTTAGAGCAATATCAGTTATAAGGCAGTATAAACCAAAAGATTACATTGCCAGGTAGTGCTGGATGTAGCACAGGAAATTCAGCAACAAAGCCACAAGCCCCTCATTACTCATGTTAGTCCTGTGGAGGGGAAGAAAACCAGGCCAGTGGCCTCATGGATCCATGTCAGACTCACACAGAAGCCATGCCTCTTCTCTTTGTATTCTTCCCAGGAAAGGAAATGTCCTGCCAGTGGAGAATCTTTCAATACTGTCATTTCAAATTTCTCCATCCCAGGCATAATTTATTTCCCTTTGTTCACAGAAGGCATGATTCATCTTGGTCCAGGCCCATGCCCCTCACCATTGGGGCACCAATGCTAAATTCTTCCTACTGTGTGATGTAACCTCACACCAGGTGTGAACTTCACTGCCATGTAGGAGTGATTCAGGGAAATGAAGGACACTTCTGCTTGTATTACCTTTGAGCGGAATTGCGACTTCTACAAAATCTTCCTTGGAGAGTTTATCGATCCATCCATCGTAAAAAAAAACATGCGTAGAAAAAGGGTAGAAGACTTCTTTTATAAGAATTTTTTCCAAAAACCACCCATCTGATTGAAAATAAACAGGACATTATTAATTTATACCTTTTAAGCAACAAAATATTCTGTGTATGCAGTCACAAGTTTCTACCTTCATCAAATCAATAAAAGGTTTTCTTTTGACAGACTTCTTAAGGAAATAAAACTTCTGAAAACATATTGGCGATGTGTATCTGTTTCTATGTGTTCCACTACACTCCAAAATAGTCAATGTTTTTACAGATCTTGTGAAATTAAATGTAGGGATACATTTGCTGTAATGATTTATTACGTCTCAAGGTATGGAAAGGCTTCTGTATGCAATCTCTAAACACAAGAAACACCAAGAGGAAATTATATTATCAACGTCCTAATGGAAAAAGGATCAGGATTTCTATGACATGAGCCACCAGAAAATCCACTCAATCCACAGCTTTCTTTCTGGGGAGATACCACTCTATATAGTAAGGAACAAAGTTTTATCTTGATTTGAAACCATGATTGTTTGGAAATAAAGCTTTTGTATAGTCAGGTCTCTGAGTCTTGGTAAACTTGATTACACTCCCAGTCTTGCTGAAGTGAATGAAAGTTTGATTGTTCATTTTAGTGTTACCATCTAGGAAATAGTTTCCCGTCCTGTTTTTCTGAGTCCAAGTTTAACCTACAGAGTCATTTTGTAATCTTGGGGGTTTTTAGAAAAGAAGGAGGAACAAGAGACTCAGGTTATCATAGTCTGGAACAGTCATTTCCATTATCAACATTATCCTGCAGGAGTAAAATACCTGTGGAATCTCTATTCTGCTGTCTTTAAAAAACAATGGGCCAAAATTTCAGCCAAAGGATTGAATAAAATACCAATTCATGACACTCTTTGCTGTGAGTATTTATTTTCTAGAAATAAGCAATTTTTTTTTAGCTACAATATCTGCTTAGGATAGGAGTCAGCAGTAGGATGAGAAAAAATGCTGCAGCAATACAGCCTTTTTATCTGCCAGTCAACCTCACACATGCAGGATCCCTTAGAAAAATATTTTGCATGGATTAAAAGGAAAGAACATGTGGGGCCAGAACAGCCTTTCTTCTGTGTTCAACTTCTCAATCTAATGAACCAATTTTATGTACTTATCTTTACATAGAAGCACCTAACCCTGAAATAAATTCCTTTTTTTGGTTTATCCATCATCTAAAAATGTACAGGAAGATGAAATTTACAAAAGTTTCAAAAGCATGATGGCATACTGCTTCATGAAAAACAAAAGCTTTGTTGACTGTTCTTATAAAAAGATAGAAACTTCAATGGAGAACAATTGCATATATAATTTTATAATTTTACATTGTCACAACATTTTCTTGGACTCCCTTGCACATTTTAGTAAAACCAAGCTGTATCTGGATACTTGACGTGTATAATCCAAAAGAAATAATGAGCAGCAAAAAATGGAAATCAATTTCATATTTTCTAAATTTTTTTAACACTTTCATGTTAAATTTCAGACATTTCTGAAGTACTAGGATCACTTAAGTCTAATGATCTACATCATTATTACCTTACATTAACCAAAAAATTTACCAACCTTTTCTTAGACTTTTAAATCCAACACAAACTTGATTCAACTTGCCGAGGTATACAGATTTGATTTTGAAAATATCCACCTGCAATATGAAAATAATCAAAATTATATTAAACTTAACAGGAGTCTGGTTTTGAGTATTTATCAGTTTAGCCTGGTGTGTCTGATCATTGTTTTGCACCTTGATAGAAGCAAATTTATCTCATCTATGCCTTTTAATTGTGTTTGACTTCATAATTAAATATTATGTACTGTAGCTCATCTTTTCTTATCCAGTTGATATTATGAATTATGCATTTCAGAATGCCTCTGTATTTAGTAGGAAGTATTTTTGGAAAAATCAGATACACACACTAGCAATAAAGTTCTTATTTCTCATACCTTCATGAAAGGAAATAAACAAATCCCAGTGTGTTGAATGTTACCTTGGTCCAGAACCTAACTTGCAATAAACTGACAAATACTAAATGTCTAATAATTCTGAAAATCTGGAGCAATTTAATTTTCACTAAAATTCATAGTTAATTTAGTGGGAATTAGGCATATAAATGGGAATTAAGTAAGTGGTATCTGTGAAGATTTCAACTACTGTGCTTTGGGGATAAAGCTGTCTCCTTGAAATAATTCTGTAATAGGTCAAATTTTTTACATACAACAGACTCGAATGATCAGTAGACTTCATGGAGTATTTCCTTTTTTTCCATACCATAAATCTTCATAATTTATTCACCTTCCTGACTATATATGCTCATCTTCTTCTTTGAACAGTCATCTTCATGATCTCTGGGAAAGTTCACAGAAGTATGTGCACTGACATGTTGCTTAAAATGCATATTCATTGGCTTTTTAACTGGGCCTGAAGAAATGAGGTTTGGAAACATACTATTTATGAATGGATTCATCTAATCTTTTGAGAAACCAGCTGCAAAATTAAATCTCTACAGCTGAGACTTTTATTTCATGTGACTTCATGAGTTATTCTGTTGAACACAGAAGCAGTTGTCTGGGGAAGTTGGGTTGAAAATGCAAGTTTGAATGTAACAGTTGGGGACTAGTTTGTGGGTTTGAAAAAAATAATAAAACCCTTGTTCCCATAGTCACACAGTTCCAGAATTTCAATGTCTGTAAGAATAATATTGATCAAAATAATCATCCAGAAAAAAGAGCAATGACTAAAACCAGAGCATTCATCATTTAAGAGTAAATTGGAGTAAAGAGAACTGCAAGAGAGTGAATACCAAAGAGTCACTACTCAAAACCTCTCCTATAAGAAGAAGATTAGGGTCTTATAGCCCAGGATATAGAAAAGCCCTTTAGAATTTCAGAGGAAGGATTTAGCAAGTCTGAACAAGCCTGTTCAAGAACTGACACAGAATCTGGATTATACAGAAAATATCCTTGTGAATTTGCAGATGAGTAGTACTTCAACAGTAATGAGTATTCATAGAAGTCAAGTGCTATTGTTCAGGTTTTTCTCTACAAGTTTTATTCTTGGCAAAAATATAACACATTCTTATAAAATAAAGAGTTTTTTAAAAGGTTGGGACAGTTTGGGTTTCTGAAAGAAACAGGAATCTGTCGCTCTTCCAGTCTGTACTGATACCTTATCCATTGTAGCAGGCAGTCTTGCTGTTCAGATTTCTCTGACACTATCCTTAAGACATACTACACAGGACTATTATCTATCATCATCAAAAAGACTAATCTATACAGCTACCTACATGGCTCTTTCAAACAAGATGAGCTCTACTATCCTGTCATTATTGTCAGATTTAACTTGTGACCTCTGAGCTACCAGTTTGATCAGTTCCTAATGAGCATGACATTGGGCATGCATATTCTCTTCCACAATGGAGAAAGAAAATACAGAGGACATAATGACTAAGATCTGGGGATATTTTCATACAAAACCCTTGTATCTTCTAAAACCTTTAAAAATAGTAAGAAAAGCAGATAAAATAAACATAGGTATGTGTAAAGAATAAATGAAGTGTGTATCAAGTATATTTCTCTAGCTTGCTGCACCAGAGAAGATACTACACTAGGCTGGCTAGCAAGAGTGAAATACTCTCTCTCACCCGCCCCCCCAAAAGAAGATTTAGAAGATTTCCTGGTATTTCATTTCATGATTTCCTTAAAACAAAAAAAAAAAAAAAACAAGCTGAAATTCTAAACACTGGGATCTAATAAGGTATCAGCTAAACATGTTCTGATTCAAAAGAGATATTTCCTTTTGATCTGAAGTCTTTTTTAGTTACTTTGTTCTTTTGCCAATAACTACTCAAGGAATTACTCTTCTAGGAAAAGCTGTTTAATCTCAAAAAGAAACAATATGTTTACCAAAAAGCAAGAAGTGGGTGGAAAAATTTGAAACATGAAAAACTAAGAGTCTTCTTGGAGCACTGACAGTGTTCAGGAAAGTTAACAAGAAAAGTTCATAGACCACTTTAGATGGAGGCTACAAATGCAAGTTATCCTACAGAAATGTTATCACTTCTAAAAACATGCATATTTTAATAAAGCAGTGATGCCTTCCTGGCCTTAAAAGTCTGGAATATTAAAACAGACTCTTAGAGTCCATTTAGTCCAATTCAGAATTAATTTATCACCTTAACTCTTTTACTGTAGCACAACAGTAAGTGATGATGCTTAAAAACAATATATTAGCTATGGAGACAATCATTATATGCCATATAAAACATTAATATTTTCAATACTCTATCCATGAAATGTTTCCTGAAAATATAAGTTCTAACGAAAAGACTCTCACAGATTCAGTTACATTTTTCCTCATTATTTTACCTGCCCTCTAGCAAAAGTGATCAGGCTGTTTTTCGAGTTAAGCCATCGCTTCCCTGAGTCACTTTTTTCTCCTTGTATACGAAGATAAACCTCTCCAGTGGCATCTGCCTTCTTCAAGTGTCCCGTGTGCAAATGGATTTCATACTCCACAACTTCATAAAAAATAGACAAAATAAACCCAAAAAGTCAGCAGAAGAAAACACTTATCATCTTGCCTGACACCCACATTATATATCAATTCTTGTACCACCAAGCAACTTCTTTTCAATTCTGGTGACACACACATAACCAAAACACATTCTTGCTGCATAACAGGATGGCAATCTAGAGACTATAGATTTGCTCTGCTCTAACACCATTCCCAGAAAATAAGTGCTTCTGGTTGCTGTTTGGGGCACAGGATCTCTTGTGTACTATCCCCTTCCATATAATGTAGGAAATTCCTTTTTAAGAAAAAAAAACATACTTGTATTCTCTTCAGAAAGTCTAATTTTTTCTTCCTAAGATTATTGGCTGATATTTCTTTGATTTTCCCTCTCTCTATTTTTATTTATCAGTAGTTAAACCATAATACTATCACAAAGTTCTTAAAATATTTTAATATGAAACAACAATAATGAATTAAAAATTTCAACATCAGCTTTAACACATAAATAGAAAAGCCTCCTGACATTTTGTAACATTCACCAAAGAACACTCCATTAATGATACAATAGCCCACAAATCCAGGTCAGATAACTGAATTTTGACTTTAAAGGAAAGCGTTCCTGAGTTTCTCAGCTGTGGTCATAGTACAGAGATTAGGAGAGACACCTATGTCCCCTATATGAATCTTCTGCTTCCTTGCCTCTTTTTGTCACAATACATAGGGAAGCGATGCAGATGAGACCAGACTGAATTAATGCCAAAGAAACTTCATGGAAATCTCATATGTTCACTTTTTAAATGACATATTTCTGCCCCTGAGCTTTTTATGGAAACAAGGAAAAAAGAAACACTTAACAGAAGCAGGTCACAATCTCAATATTCACTCTTATTTGCATCATTTTAACAACAAGGACCCCAGGACAGAATAAGTAAGGCTTTGGGGGAATAGGCTCTATTTTCCTTCTGGTGTTATGTGCTCTAATTCAGATTATAATAGTAAGTATCATTTGCATAGAGTGTCTGGGCTCATTTGTCTTCTGAGCTGGTACTGTGAATTTTGGAATCTAATTTTGGTGGCTATGTTAGATCCTTATGTAGCCAGCAGGAGAAGGCAGGTGCTATAGAAAACACCTCTGATGGGTTCCCACACATTCTACAGATAAACACTAGAACTCAGGAGTCTAAATTTAGATGGTCTAAATGTTCCTCTGCTTCCAACCACAGGCATAATTTCTTCAGCCTAAGAATAAAAGCTATCCTCTTGTAGCAACACATGCTTGTAAAACATGACTGTCTAATATTTTTATAAGGGCAACATTTTTCTCCACTGTAAAATGTAGAGTGACATTTGGGATGCAGGTGATGAGCAATGCACATGTACCAAGAATGTATCTGAAAACATTTGTATTATCTCTTGAACTTTTTAAATCACAAACACTAAGACTTTTTTTTAAGAACTGAGCAGCCTTAAAATCCAGCGTCTTAGAAGTCCTGAGCTATGTTTGACTACCAAAAATTATCAGCCCTTTCTCCCACAGCCTTCATCACTGTAGCAGTAAAACATTGACAACATCTAGACTATGTGACATTTACATGCTGGAGGAAGTCTTCCAGCTTTACTCTGCCTCCTGTCCCTCCCTGGAACTTGGCTGGCTCTACAATATCTCCTTTCCCAGGCAACTTTTCTGGGCAAGAGAAGGGAGTGGTGCTTTAGACAGACATGAAATCAAGGAGAAACAAAGCACTTTCAGTTTCATAGCTCACAGTACAGGCCAGAGAGCATGGAAAATGCACATTATTCAAGTCTGAAACATATATTTCAGTCTAATGTACAGCATAGGATAAATGAATATCTGAGTATACAACCGAAAATGCACATTATTCAAGTCTGAAACATTTATTTCAGACTTGGAAATAGCTGATGTTCTCAGTATATTTTATTTCTTCAATCAATTTTTTTCCAAGATAGAAATGATCTATTTAAGCAAACTGTACATTCTTTAAAAATATTATAATTATGAGAAAGTTCTGGTAGGTTTAAGAATAATTCAATGAACCCAGAAGCTAAAGCTGTCACTTAGTTTTATGCGTAGGTGATAGGAAAACAGGGAGGGGAAAAAAGTGTTCTGAGGATATTTATTTTAAGCTTTTCTTACAGCTCTTTTCACAAGTTGGTGCTATTCATGCTGAGTGTTATAATCAAAAGGTCTGAATTAAAATATTGTGACATCTTATATAGCTATTTCTTTCTATTTCTAAAATAAAAAGGTCCCATAACAGGATTAACGGTTTTAAAGAGTGGGTTGGTATAGACTGTAACATTAATATTTAAAAGGATTTATTAAATAATAAGGGCTCTATAAGCCTGCTAATAAAAGTGTGCTCATGTCAATAAATTTCTGAAATGTATTTATTTCTCTTTTCCTTTTACTTTATGAGGATGATGTCTGAGAAAATCTGTTTGCTTAAATGTAGCTTTGTTTCACTGAAGCACTATTTGCTTCAGGGACTCACCTGGGACTATTTTTTTTAAACAATTTAAACTAAGGACTGAGAAAATCTTTATAATTGATGGTATCACTCATATTTGATGATAAAGAGTTTTCCCAGTAAACCAAGAGTTTTCCTAGCCTGGGGCCCTAACATATCTTCATCCTTCTTCAGAGGAGTGAAATATGCACAGCCAGGTAAATGACAACATAGCTGCATTAAAGTCAGCACAGCTACACAGACTTGATCTTTCTGGAGTTCCAGATGGTTGAAACTACATGAGCTGTCCAGGTGACACTTTGGTTAGCATTTAGCAAATGGCATTTTGCTTTCAGGAGAGTTGGGATATGAAGTTTCTGTGTCGTTCATTCAGAGTGTTGCCTCATCCGTGTAACTGGGCCATGGGAGCAGGTTTGTTGAAGTCAAGACTACTTGTGTGAATAAGATCAAAATATTTTGGTCCATGTGGCTGGCCACTTCCATGGGGGTTGATGAGAAAGCACAGTGCTCATCACATTTTTACCGCTTTTGTCCATTAATATTTGAATCACTAATATACAGACCCATGAGCTTAGCTTAGAAATGTATGTGGTGTTTCTGCTGAGTCGGTGCTTTCAGCTGAATCTGCTGAATCTATTGATGCATAATTTAGAGCTGAGTGTTGTCACAGCAAAGATTTACTATTAATGTTCCACTATGTAAGGGAAATAAAAGTATACAAGTATCCCCTATGGAAGGAGCCATAACAGAAAGGAGATGTTGGGAAATGGGGTAAAAGTTTTTAGGCTGAGTTAGAGAACATTCTGATTGTGTTCTGTGTGAACAACATGTCCCAACAACAAAAATTTACTAAGACAAGGTATTCTGTTCAAGCTTTTCATTCTTTGTCTCTTCCCAATCCTATTTATAAAAATTCTCTTTCAGATGTAAGCCAACATATTGCAAAACTGAAAGCAATCACCTAATGCTCATTTAAAAAGGAAACAAAACCTCATAAAGATAGGAGAGTAATACATATTATTTTTATTATTATTTTGTATTAATTTCTTGTGTGTGTCTATAAATAAAACCAAAATATAACAAAGAAGAAATTTTAGATTTAAATTTTATATTTGGACCACAAAGAATAAAAGTAGTATTAACACTTCCAGTTGTAAATCAGTGGACTGCAAAAAATGGTTTGTGAGAAACTTTCTAGGTTGGTAGACATTCCCATCTAAACACTATTTTTTGAGAGAGAGCATATACATTTCTTTTCCCAGAAATTTTCCAAACAAATTTCAAAAAAAAATTCCTAAATTTCTAATATACCTCAATAATTAATTACTTTATATATCAGAATAATGCATTCAGACAGTGTCTTCATTTGGCTCTTAGCACAATAGAGACTTTGAGAGGTATATTCTAGAATTTTAACTTTTTAAAATTTTTGTACTTTTTATACACAGTAGAAAATTTAACAAGTTTGAATTCAGAAAATAATTGTTCATATTTACAGTCCTCACTTTTTCTTAAATAAATTAAGGAAATAGGGCCTTTTTATAAGGTCTGGAATTACTATATTCATTATATGCTGGATATATTACATCCAACACCCAATGTTTTTTTGAATCTGATGGATCAAAAGTCTAAAATGGTAAGATTTTTCAGTGCATGAATACAAGGTGACAATTTTTATTAATTATGCAAACCCACACAAAACCAGAAATTTAAAGGGTCTTCGCTGTTTCTTTCAAGTTTCAACTTTGTTAGATGAAATATTTAGGAAACTTTATTTAGAGAATGGTCTGCAAAAGTTCATGTGATCTATTTTATTTCTTTTTCTGGGCTGCTTCCATCTTTTTCTATTAGTTTCCATTGAAGCAGAACACTCTTTTTACTATAGCCTCTAGCAATAAACCTCTTAACTGGCACTAAAAGCCTCAATATATGATCTTTACTCTCTCCATCAATCCTCTTTATTCTAATGAGCTGAATAAATGGGAAGCTTGTCCTTAAGTACTAGTGATCAAGTTATCAGTATACAATTGGTTGTTCCAGGGGAAGTGGTTGGAGGTGGTTGGCAGAAATCACTTCATTATCTCTCTGGCATCATATCATTCACATGTGTTACTAACAGCAGAGAAACATGCAACTTAATGTGTATTTTTGTAGAATATCACTTGCTGTGCTATGAATTTCTCATTGACATCAATAAAACACTAGCTTAATTGAAATTCTTGACTATCTCTTTGCTGGCTAACTGTGTGGCATTTTAAAAATTCCACCTTTGTGGCGCAGGGGGTCTGCAGTTCTTTCCTTCTTTACTTTGTTTCTAGATCACATACATCTCTTTGTGAATGGGAAGAGACTAATAGTATCACACCGTAGATTACATTTTGTACTCATCTTCAGCTCACATAGCATTATTTTGAAGAGATAATAAATAATCAAGAGTTAAAACTGGAACATCATCTACTGTGAAAGGAGCCAAATACTGTGTTTGGTGTCATCAGTTAGAGCATCTCTCATAATCCTCATACCAATGATTTCTTTTTTGTGGTAAATGAATGTGCAAAACCATCACATACCTTCATATCAAATTCTTATGGAAATCTTCACACAGTATTTTTGGCCCAAAAGAGATATATTGCTATTCCAGAGACAGATCCTGACCCCAGCAACAAAAAAAGGACATAGCTTACCAGGCAAAGGCTCCTGATCTGCATAGAGAGCTGGCAGCTCCACACATTTGTCTTCCTTAGGGTTGAACCAGCAGTCAAAAGCTAAATACATCTCTTCCTTTGTGCCTGTGTGCTTCAGATGAAGTAAATCTAAGTGCCATGGCTGTTTTAGCTCACTGTGTGGGCCAGTTACCTGAACTTTGTATATTGAGCCAATACCTGCCAGTTCATCCTGTGTGAGGAGAAAGAGAAGATGAATGGATCTCATTTCAATTGTGCCAGAACAAGTGTAGTTGGCAGCTGTATGCAACAGTTGAACAAACTTCAGTAGTTAAAAAATGGGGCAGATTTATAACCAGTACTATTTTTCTAAAAAATAGTACTGGTTATAAATGGTTATAAATAGTACTGGTTATAAATTCAACTTTACTAATTTCTAATCAATACAAAATTTATTTAAAAACATGAATGAGGAGATGGAAGGCCTGAGGTCTGATATTAAGGAGCAAGCAATGGCAGTCACTGCTGAAATATGTACACAGAACAAGGCACAGTAGGTTATTTTCAGGCACAGAAGATTTACCCAATTTTTAAAATTTTGGACACTATTGGAAATATTTCTTACAACAATAAAAATTACGCAATTATTTATAAATTTGAAAGAAAGCTAATCCAGCTTTGACAAACATCCAAAAGATCATCCTCACTCTAGATCATAGAAGTTATGATTCATACTTGCATTCATACTTGAGAAAAAAACCAATCTAGTTCTACTGGGAATAATGCACCATCTCTAGGGCATACCATTGCTTGAGTAGGTGAAAGCAGAGGAGGCCTTAGATATTATAATTAGTGGTTTAAAATATTTTTTTTTTCACTGTAAGGAAAAAAAGGGAGAAAAGAAATGTTGTGTTTTCCTACTAAATATTTCATGGATTCTTTCCCCTGCTCTTTCATTTTAGATATGCTCAGATAGTAGAAGTCCATGTGGCCTGACTTCAGCCTTTCCTCTGACAGGGCACTTCCATCTACATACTATTTTTTTTTGTATTTACCAGAGGATTTTGGAAATAACTCAGAAAAGCCCTCTGAGTACTCCTCATTTTGTATCATGTTTGTGGTGAGTCTAGTCTGCTTAGTTCCTCTTTCACTAAAGAAAAGAGTAGCATCAAAATACAGCAAATGATTTCTTTAGCTCAATTATAAAATTCAATTCATTAAGAAGAAAAATGAAGAGACAATAAATAACAGGGGGAAAAGAGAAACCATACTAGAAATACCAGTTCAGAGAAACTGATGGCAGAGATGAATAAATTACATGAGAGAGAAAAGAGAAAAATTAACCTTCTGTGCATTTAATCTCATTTATGATTCTTCCTTCTCTATCATGAGCCCCAAAAGCTCTACAGTATCCCATGGCATATTGTGTGCTTACAAATTGCTGATTTTTGTGAGATCAACAAAGCCTGTAAATCAGTACCTGCCTCGTGCTATACACTGTGATGTGCACCAAGGGACCAATTCACTCACTTAAACATTCTCAGTATGAGACACTGGGAGAATTTGCTCATTCAAAAACCATTGTTCATGTGTTGCTACCTACAAATAAAATGATGATCTGTGCCAAACTACACAGAGGACTTAAAAATCAATTTGGTAGTTTAGTTTAAAGAAACAATTTATCTCAGAATTAAGTGGATTATTGGCTACATGATTCGGAGGCTTTTCTTGCAACAGAGAAAGGTTGAAGTACTTTGATCTGAATTGCTTTTCCTGTGACTTGAAGTGGCAACTTTTTGTGACTCAGGTTGCCGTAGAAGATAAAAGAAAGGCATATTGGATCCTCTTCAGCACTCAAGTCAGATCCAGTGATATCCATTAGCCAGGAACCTGATGACTTCATGTTGATTTCAGGCAGTTTAGGACTAAGAGTCGACCTTCTACCTTTAAAAATTATCAAAGAGAAAGAAAAGATGACAGCATGAGAGAATGGCATAATCTAGCAGGATCACAGCCTTTGCAGTACACAAACAAAGCTCTTCTTGCAGGTTATGTTGTATCTATAGCAACTGCTCACTAAGAATAACACATCAATATCTTTATTATATTTTTTGTGAAGAATTTAGAAGCTTAATCCTCTTTCTGTGTTTAAAATTTAGTTTCAATGGCATTTTTTGATGCCAATGTGTTTTCCTTGTCATGTTTGGAAGTAATTGCTAAGAGAATATTCAGTCACCCTTTAGAGGTCTAAGCAATTGTTCTTTAAAAAGCAATCAGCGTTACTAAAGCAAATTTATCATTTAAGAGCATGTAGCCATATGTAGCATGTAAGCACCTAATGCAAAATGAACAATTCTAATGAACTTTCCTTGTCACCAGATGTTACCAAGCAAAATAATAGGTGTTTTAATAGTGTGAGACTGACAGGTAACCTATAATAAACACACAAAGTTATTTGCCAGATGCTCAGAAGATCAATATCACTATCTGCCTCTCTTTTTCTTCATTAATGGTTGTAATTCTTCATTTTCGTTCTGTTTTAACCAGTCTAGGCAAAGTGAAAAGGATTTCCTGAAGAGGAACAGCTTAGGAAAATGTACTTTCTACAACTCAGAAAAACCACACCACTGAATCAAAGACATCTTGTGTCTTACTTCCTCTGCACAAAGTTCTGTAGTTCATTTCCTTTGCATTGGATTCTTTTCACAGGATTGAAGGGAGAAATCCTTTACTACTTCTGAATGAGTAAAGGTCCTGCTGTACGTGTTCTTTTGCCAAGCACATCCAGGTTTAGATTTGTGCAAATCATGGCATAGTAGTAGGTGTGAAGTGAGCAGAAATGAGCATAACAGAACTGCTGTTTTGTGCTGTGGAATACTCTCACAGGCAAAGTCTAGACTCATTTCACTGAAGTAATTTTTCTTTAGATTTCAAAGTACATTCTAGGCCGAAAAATAGGGCACAAAATTTAAGCTATTTATCCCCATGAGGTGCACATCCTAAGCTTGGCTGTTTATCTCTCATTGAAAATGTGCTGTGTTTAATTTGGAAGGCAGGTGTTCCATATGCAACACGTTGAGAAGACAGAATTATACTAACTTTGACCTTACCAGATGTGGCACTGCTATAACGCTAAGCTCAAACTGAAAATTCACATTTTCAATAAAAGAAGGATACTACAGACATTTAAATGAGCTGTAGTCAAATACACCTATATAAAAATGGTCAGGTCAGTTTTGCAGAACTTACCAACTGTTACAATCTCACAAACAGTCTCACATAAACCCAGATGAGTATCGAGCCAATTCCACAGTGGAAAGACCCATTCTTTGTCTGAATCTTGTGATTCCCTGACTGTTACCATCTTGAGGTACATCCCCGCCCCGTAGCCTTCTCCATCATGACCTATGACCACTTTTTGCAAATGACTCAGACAAACAGCTTCCACCAAAAATGAATCCACCTGCAAAACAGGGAAATACTTAATAAAACGGAATTTGGACTTGAAGTTCAGGGAAAATATAGGCCTGAATTCATCTGAGAATTCAAAATTTTTGAAGTCTGATTCTTTGTAAAGTTTAACATAGCATCTCTCTGCTGAATCTGAGAAAGCACACACTGATTAGAGATAACATTTAATCTTATATTCATCATTAATGATGCATTTTAATTTCATTTGATCTTGGTCAATATGTATCACTGCATCAATCATTTCATATTACATGAAAATCTATATACCTCAACTTTCTGACAGTCAGTTATTATAACATTTTGATTCTAATGAAGTTTCTATATTTCAGATATCTAGTTTCTAAAGCTTATACAAGTCTAGATACATATTAATAGTTCTAAACAAAAGTTAAACATCTAAAGAGTGTTTTTACTCCAAGATAGCTTTATAATTCTTCTCCAGTAATCAGAACACTTGACTTTTTTCTTTCCTTACAAAATGAAAATGATTGTGGAGCAAATTGAGAAGGGAGGATGTTAAAATGAAAGTGAAGAGTAAAAGATGAGAGATGGGAAGGGAAGCAGAATGGAGAAGACAGAGAAAGACATGAGAGAAGTAAACACAAGTGGCAGTAGATCAGAAAAAGAAAAGAGATCAGAAAAACGAGATAAGTAAAAATAAGAAATGCAAAGAAAGAAATTGTATGCCCCACTAAATATTTGTAAGTCAGATATTCTGCATAAGGCCCAGCCAGGGGCCAGATGGATGTCATGGGAACTGCTAAAGGTTAGAAAGTTATGAACAACTGGAGTTTGAACAGCAATGTCTAGGAATATATTTAACACCATAATTCAAATAAAAGAATTCAGTAGTAGGAACTAACTAAATTGGAGATAAAAACAATTAAAAAACCAAGATATTAGAAAGCTCATCTCTAAAAGAATACAGTAGTTGCCAAAGTCCTATGTGTTGTCCCTATTACTTTTTAAATAAAATATTGGAGAAGCAAGCATATTTTCTGCTACTAATATTGACATATAACAAAAAGATCTTTTTTTTCTAATAACAGTCAGAACCCAGCAGCAGATTGTGAGCAGAAATCGTAAACTTCATTAATTAAGATATTTTAGGAAATAAATCCATGTATGAACATAAATTAAAATAATTACAATATAGTGCTGTCTTCTGTATACAGGCATGGTTCTGAGAAATACACAGAAATTAAATTTAGAAATTCTCTCAGTTCATTACTGATTCCACTTTTACCAGAACAAGTGCTGTGGTAATTATCTAATAAAATTATTTCACAGAAATCTAAGCCTCTCCTTGACAGTGGACAGTTTTGCATGAGTTTTTTCAAATGTCCTTTTCAAATGTCAGTGAGTGAATGTCTAATTCACAAGAGAAGAATTTTATTTATCTGGAAACACTAGGTTTATTTGCATTCTTTTTCTAAGTGGAATTTTTATTTCTTGTCTAAACTTGCTGATATTGAGTTGGTGTTTCAGAGTGGGATTGTGATTTCAGAAACACCATAGACTGCAAAAGTCTCATGGAAATTTTTGTAATTTATTTTTCACTGATTTTTATCTTTTTTACTCTCTGTTCTGTCTTAAGTTTGGAACAGAAGAAATCAGAAGCATGATCACAGACTTTCTCCCCACAAATCTGCTTTGTATTGCTCATGTGAAGCCTTTATTGCCATGTGGGTATGTTCTTGTACAGGAAATAAATAATACTGGCATTGGTCTATTGTGAATATCTGGAAGATAAATTCTCTGAATGTTTCCAAACTCTTGCCTATGTATTGCAGGGTAGATGTGGCTGATAAGCTCACATGTAATCAGAATACATCTAGTAGATATATTCTGAGCAGGCATTAAGCTATATTTAATGCAGTGCTAACCCCGGCACATGTAAGACTGTAGTTGGTGCCATTACCTTATTTCTTTGAAATTTTCTTCCCTTCATTAGAGATGTATGAAGTTTCCTCACACCTGTGTCCCCTCTTTTGCCATAGAGAGTGATATAAACATTTGCAAAAGTCCCTGCTCCCCAGCGGTCACCAATATGTACAGAAACAACATACTTATAGACTGTGCAAAAAGAAAATAAAAAAATAAATTAAATTTAAAGCTGATTAAATACAAGCTGTACTTAAAAGAGCAACACTGAATATTTAGTAAGACTTACTTTTTTATTTATTTCTGTGGCTACAAAAAACTCTGCCACACAGTGAATGAAATAATCAGGTTATTCTTCATTAATCCAATCTTTTCATGCTAAGGTCAATGAATACTTTCCATTCACTTTCTTAGAAATTTGAAGGAAATTGAACTTGGACAACTTAGACTTATGAATCTAGGCAAATTCTGCCCCATTCTGTTTTATTGTGCAAGAACTGGAAAGTAAGAACTTACTTATTTGAGTTTGTTCAGGAGCTAAACCAAAACTAATTAAAAACTGAATTATCTTTGAAATAGATAACAATTAACACAGGTCAAAGAATAAGAATAAGGTTATGCAAATTTAAATAAGAAATAGATGCAACATAGCATCTGGGTGCAAGACATGACATACAAGTATAAAAATTTACAAAATGCACTTATTAACTTAAAGAAGAAAACTATAATTTTTTTGCCTTTATATTGATCCTGTATGAATTAATTTCTACAGTCAGATCAGATTTTCTTCTGACTAGAAGATCATTTAATTGCATATATTCAGGCTCATACAAAAAGAATAACCAAAATTTTTCAAACGTTGTTTCTAATGTACAGTTCTGCAGAGTTAACATTTAGTTAATGTAACACTATACTTTGTTTTAAGGTTATGAATAGGTTTGAGTACTCAGGGATCCGAACTTCTGGAACTTTAGTTTAGCAAAGCTGTGAAGTCTGTAATTACTTTTATCTCATGTGTAACTGCTAACTTTTCTGAACAAATGCAGGACTTCTCTAAGTCTTCACATTCCAAGGACATCTCTGAGAACTCTCAGCATGGCAAAAAAGTAGTGCTTAGGAAAAAAGACCCAACCTTTCTCTGCAATACTTCTGATACTTACGTTAGCAAGTAAAACTATTGCAAGCTAAGTAATTCAATAGTAACCCTAGAACAAATCATTTCCATGGCTTTGAACGTGTTCATTTCCCTAAAAAGTTCAATTTTGTTGATCAGTTTTTCTCATTTAAAATCATGCAGATGACTTAGCAACTCTAAAACCCAATATGCAACATAACTGGAAAATTAAAATATAATTTTCAGCATTCTTGCAGTGCATATGTGAAGACAGGTGCAACAGAGCCACTGAAGGTAACAAATGCAGACAAAGCACTATATTATATCTGTGACACTGATTTATTTTCAAGCAGCTAATTTACAGTGTTTATGTCTTCTCTGCCTTTACCTGGTAAAGTTTTCTGGTCCTCAGTGACTGCAGGGAATTCTTTTACCAGCTCCTTATCTCCCCTCTTCAGAGTGAGCCAGCAGTTGCACTCAAAGTTCAGATCTTGTTTCATATGCAGCTCTTGTAAGTGAAAGGACTTCAGATGCCAGCCCTTAAAGCCTGGCACATCATCACAGCTGACTCGAATCTTGTACACATCTCCCAGATCTGCAGTCTCAACCTGCACCAAATGGCACGAGAAAGAGAGTACTGTCAAGGCTGGTTCACCTAGAGAGATTTTCCCCAATCCCAGTTCCTAAACTTAACAGTAAATAAAGGAAAAGTTGAGTTTGAGGCTGGGATAACTGTGATGATAGAAACAATCCTTTTTATTTCATGGTATAATCATGGGTGATTATCTCCTTTATTAGTATTGTAAGCATGACACTCTGTAAGCATAAATACTGTAAGCATGATAATTTTGGAGTGAATTAGTGAAAATTAGTAAGGTATTTGCATTTAAGCTATTTAGACAAAAGGTAATGCAGGAAGTTGTGACCCTACTGGAGAAAGAAGGCATTAACTTACAATTAAAGATTCTAATATCAGCAGCCAAGGGAGGTGTTAATTTAAAGATGGTTACTATGAGCCTGGAATTGCACAATTTTTTAGGTTGGAAAAGACCTTTAAGACCATCAAGTCCAACCATTAACACAGCACTGCCAAGCCCATCAGTAAACCATGTCCCTGAGTGCCACATCAGCATGTTTGTAAATACCTCCAGGGTGGTTACTCAACCACTGTCCTGGTCAGCCTGTCCCAGCTTGGCAACCCTACTGGTGAAGAATTTTTACTAAATTCTCATTTGCTAAATGGTTTTCTCTAGAACATTAAACTACTTTACAACCATTTTGTCATTAAAAGAAAGGGATAATTCTGAATAAAAATAAATCATTTCTGTTACAGAAATAACTGTGTAGGACAACACAGCCCTGTTCCCAAACTACATGTGGAAATTCAGTAACTGGTTGGTGGTTGTGGATAATGATCTGCATGATGTTAACCAAAGCATGATAATTCTTCTGAACAATAGGAAGTAATGTGGCAGCCATGTACTGGGCAGCTACAAGAAAGAAAGGATGGGAAGTGATTTTGAGTGCAACAACTGAGAACTAGTAATTTTTAAAGGCAACAATTTTTTTATTAAGTATCAAAATAATTTTAAAAAATGTTGCCAGTGGCTTTGTTCTTCTCCCATATTGCTGCTTTTTTTCCCCCACACATCCATCACAACATAAGATTTGGTGACTCTCCAGGGAATAAATCCTTTGTACACCCTATAGCATCACAATATTAAACTGAAATTAGACTTACACAATCATGCCCTGGCTCTGACAGCACCACCAGCAGATTGGCTCCTAAGACAGAGCACAGACCTAACAGATCAATTTATTTTGCTTCTCAGCAGAGCTCTGAACATGACAGCCCCTCACTGCTGACCGCGCTTGCTTAAAGCTACTTCATGTGCATTTGCACAGCGAACACAAGCACGTAGGGAAGTATCAGCTACCTTATTTTAATTACAGAGGTACTAAAAAATGTGGGTTTTTTCATTTTGGGAGAGTTGGACATCACTTTTAGTAACTGTTATGCACATAAGAAACAGTAAAATGTCAGAGTGTGATATAAAATTAAGCTACCTGCCCAAACCATTTTACAGGAATTTTATGACCAGTTTATGATGCAGAACTTATGAAAAGAGGCCTTTGATAGGAAGGAATTGCATTTGATGGATTAAAAGACCCTGTCCAGTCAGAATTTCTTGAAGTAAGTATTATAAATGGTTGCAACACCACTCCTACCCAATTTCATGACTCAGGGCATTGTTTAAGGAGCAGGGAAGAACTCCTTTCTGTTGCCTGTATAACAGCCCTGGGCTGCTCAGAACCTCTCAGCTCCTGAGGTGTAACTCCACAGTACCCAAAAAGAGCACACAGCAGTAGTTATACACCAGAAAAGAGGGACCAAGCTTGTCCTCTCTCTAAGCCTGGCCTGCCCTGCCTCTCTCTGTGCCATCGTGCTCACAGAGATCAAAGCTGTCCCTGATTCGGTCCCCACCCCTGCACTGTGGAAAGGGAAATGAGTGGGCAGAGTTTTGCATCAAGATTTTTCACTCATGCTGTGTATGTTGCAAAGGATATAATTAGCTATGTATCATTAGCTGTGGTGGACTAAGTGGATTAATTCCTTGTGAAATATGCATTCCACCTGATTAAACTTAACACAAATTATTTGGGTTCATTGAGAGGAGAGTGCACAGGTTCTTCACCCATCAAAACTACAGTTCTTTCACAATGAAGTCATTGCTTCTTCTCTTTCAGAACCAGACTACTATTTCTAAAATAATTGCCTGCACATTTTTTTTCTCATGTATGGATCCCATGACTGTATTACACAGCTACTCTAAATGCTGTGAACAACTTATTCCATAAAGCTCTCTGTTTTGGAGTTGCAAAAGTACAGAACTTGGTTATCTTTATGTGACAGGGCAAGCTGTAATTCACATTTTACTTTGTCTTCTGCTGCCCTAATTTGCAATTCGCTAGGATTCCAAGTTGTCATAAATACATGTGCTATAATTCTCCTAGGAAATGCACAGAGGAGATTTATAGGAAAATAATTCCAGAATACAGGACAGAGTATTTAGAAGCCACAATTGTCCGTTCTGTTTCTAGAATCACAATTTCAATTAATTCCCTGACTGCCAGTGAACTAGCAAGTACTAGTAATAATACTGTTTATGATCCGTGGAATTAAGCACCAGCTATTTTCAAATGAGTGTACTAGATAGTTCCCCTTTTTCATGGATTTGTTTTTTCACTTACAGCTGTGGGCAGCATTAGCCTTTTTGTTGAGCTCCATCATTGTACCCAGCGCTGCCATTACATCATTCTTGTGACCCTTTTCTGACCAGTTTAGTACAAGTAGTTTTCCTTTGGAATATGATATTCTGTCTTGGATCCCAAAATTGTCAGTTCCCTCTACCAATGTCTATTAATGGATGAAACATGAACTTTGAAGCAGAGGCAGACATGTAGTCCAACACAAAACATATATCCAGTGAATGTCCTGGATTTAAATTTGTTGAATATTTGCCAAAGCATACTTTACTTCATTCCTTATTATAACTTCTTATTTTTTCACATTTATTTCTTCTGAATAGATTTCTCTAATATTCAGAACTGGAAATCTTAGTTGAGTAGGCGTGATTTTTAACATACTAAACAATACGTTTTCCATTACACGACTGAATTTTTAAGAGCAAGGCTCTTAAAATTAGGAGGAGCCACTGGGCTTCTTAAGATCTCAGAGACAGGTAACTGATACAGATGATTAGAGAATTTCATAACATTTTAAATCTTTTCCTCTTTAACTCACACAGGGCTTCTCAAAGACATCATGCCTAGGGTAATGAAACCCTTGTAAATTTTACTGTTTGGGTGCATATTTAAATGTAATTCCTTTTCATTCTTTTCCCTGTTAAAACAAAAAAAAACCGAACCAAACAAATCACACCCACCCACCCACTCCATAAATTATTCTAGTTAATAGGGTTTCATCAAACCTACTAAAATTCAATTGGACAGCCATCTGTCATATACACCAGAAATCCTTCTGCTTGTTATTTGGAGCATCATCTCATACTGTGGAATTGAATTAGTGTATTATGTGATCTGAAACTTTCTGGCACCTTTTTGTCATCCTTAACAAAAAATACATTCAGAATTTATTGTGTATTTACCAACAGTCCTACTTGAAGGGCACTATTGCTCATTTTGTACTACCTGGGCTAGTGTTTTGGACAGTGGTTTTGGGCTTCCTAATCTCACACTCTGTCCCATGTATTCTAAGATTCTCCAGAGAACAGAATGTGTGCAATACAGCAGGACCTTCCAAAGACACACTCTGACAAACTTACTCTGCTAGCAACCAAGAAACCAAGATGACTGTGAGAAAGATCTATATACTTTACAAATCTATTCATTCCATGTGAGATCTACCAGACTACCAAGGAAAAATTCTACCTCTTCACTGGTTTCTTGCCATTCTGCCTTCAGCACTATAACTCCTGCCAGATTTCATAACATTGACACATTCACCCATTTTTCAATTTATTTTTAAAACTAAGGTGTTCTAATTAAACATTCTTTTTTAAAGCAGCTCAACTACCATACTACATTTCTGAGACTACAAAAACCCAACTGTACCTAAGAGCATGCTTCTATTTTCTGTCTTTTAATTTATTCTTTATGCTTGCTATGTGCAATTAAACTACACCTGTTCTTTCATAGGAGTTGATTTGGCATATATTGGATGGAAGAATCATTCTGAATATGATACACATCTGTGCATATACTTGTGTGAGAACACCTGGAAAATCAGGAATTTACATGCCTTTCTGTCCTCAATGTGCAATAAATGTATCTCTGAGATCAAAATCAAGCTTACTGTTTCAAAACTATGTGAGCTGCTTATAGCACATAACCTGTTGTTCTTTTTACTGCAGTATGTTATTAAGGATGTTTGTCTAGAACCAGGATCTTGGCGGGAGGTTAAAAGTTCATTTATCCGTGCTTTTTGGAAAGCTGAATTCACAGCTTGTCCTCATTGTGATATCACATTCATGCCTCCAGCCTGCTGCTACAGTGAGAAAACATAAGCAAAGTTTCTGCATTCTTCTGCATAGTCTTAGTAAGAACAAAGAAAGGGAAAGCAAAAAGAAACTGGGTTTATTGGCTCAAGCACCTAAAGAGGTGTGAGGGTGTTTATGGAGATACCTGTGAATCCCCAAATGCCTCTTTATACCAGAGCTGCTATTCTGTAAGCTGCACTGTAAGCAATGCAGCAAAGAAATAAAATGTCATGCACACTAAATAATGCTCAAATAGCACTAACTTCTTCATACAAAGCAATAAAAACAAGGACACAAATAGCTGTGGGGAAAATACAGGCACTAACCCAAAGTCAATCCAAAGTATGAACAAGGATTCAGAAAGCTGCTGGGGTGGAAGGCTACAACCCATAATGTACTGTGTACCAAGGATAGTAGACTATGAGAGACAGTCACAACTGACACACAGAAATACTAATTTCTCCTAGTGTGATACCCAATCATTGAAATTAGGCAGCCCTAACAAGGAATATCTGCCACTTGGGAAATTACCAACACACTGGATGTAGCAGCATCACTGCTTTATGCAATGGTGCTTGCCAAAATTCAGTCAGCTGGTGCTCGTGCTCCACAGATAGATTCTGCCTCTACTGACCTCTTCAGTTTATGTTCATGGCATAGGATAGGAAGCTTGTTTTGTTGCTCAGTGTGTTTCCTGTGTGTTTTCTGATAAGCAGCTGCTTCCTTGTCCTTAAGAAATGCCATTTATCTTTTCATTTACTCCCCATAAAGTTCCTAAATTGCTTTAGCTTGTTATTTAAACTAAAAACTCAGCCTGGATCAGGTCATTACAATGAAGCTTTGACATAATTTTCTAAAGGTAGCTTTGCCATTGTTTTCAGAATGTTTATTGTAGCCATTGAAAAGTCTTTCTGAGCTGTATAAAACTGCCTCAAATTGCAAGCTATTTCTCCCATCTTGCTGGCTAGAAGCCGTACTTCATGGCAATCAACAGAATTTGCAATGCCTTAGCCTGGAAAGCCAGGACAGAATTGAAGATTTAAAAGATGCCTCAGCCAAATCCTCTCAAATCATCAGCATGTGTGTCAGGTGTATGGGCGGTCAGGACAGTGTCAGGGTTGATTTTAATACTGGCCATATATAAGCTATTGCTTCAGAGTTCACCAGACTTTGATATGCATGAATGCATTCTCCAGTGATTTGTGATTATCCAGAAAAATCCTCTGCCTGCTGACCTGAGAGACAGAACAATCCTGTGGAGAGTGGATACTACTTTATGAAGATGGAAATGAAGGAAAGAAAAGCCAACTTATGTCCCCTGGGAGTGCTGTCCAATCCTTCATCTTCTGCATTCACAAATAATTGTATATTGCCTTTTGTGTGAACTTCAACTCAGGAATCTTCAGGGAATTAGAAAAAATGCAAGATGAGCTGGTGAATGCAATAAATTACACAAAAGAGTCCATGGTGCTGGCTGTTGTAGAACAGGACCAGCAATGGGAGATGACCCAAGACCTATACTTACATCATTCCATTTTTGTAAATAATTACATCATTTTTTACCAGAAAAATCAACTGTGTATATATATATATATAATGCTAGTCATGTATACACACACACACACACAAATACATATATCTATGTCCATATTAATATATATATATCTATATATATATATATATATATATATGCTAGAAGGCAATGTCATGATATATATATATATAATGCTAGTCATGTATACACACACACACACACAAATACATATATCTATGTCCATATTAATATATATATATATATCTATATATATATATATATGCTACAAGGCAATGTCATTATAAGTTCTTTGTAGTACTGTATATTTCTGACTTACAATGAATTCATCAGTTGCTCTGGGAAGAAAGCACACATGTCCTGGGGTTTGTGGAGAAAGCAGAAGCTCATCACTTTTGCCATTTGAGCCATAAATCACAAGGGTCCTTTTACACTCCTGTGGCTCTGGGGAATCTCCATCTGTTTTAACCTGCACTCTCCACCGTTGTGCTAAAACAGGAAAAACATTTTTAGCATCAATTTACCAATTAAACGTTTTTAGGATCAATGATAGAGAGCAATGGATGCTTTTGTTACTATCACAAAGAAGAGTTATAGATTACCATGAGTTTACATCCCATTTAATATAATAAATAATTAATAATTATTTTTTTCATCTCTTGAAGATAAGTATAGCTCAGATTTGATAAATATAAAACAATTGTTGAACTGGGTATGAAAACAGAGATTAATACCTAGGAAGCAGAAAAAAGACACTTTGCCTAGGGGTGTTTTTTGCATTCTTTGTATCATAATAGTTACTTTAATTACAGTAATAATTTTAATAAATTTAAGTTCTTAAAATGTTCTTATGTAACATGAAAAGAATGTTAACATTTTGAAAGACTGGTGATACATTTGTAAGACCTGCTGGCTAATATATAACTAGCTAAACAATGAAACGTCAACTTTTTTTTCAAATTTTTCTAACTTAATTTGTCATGTTCAGTCTGCTAATTTGTCAGATCAGATCATTCATTAGGGTTGAATACAAAATTCAGGAAATTTTGAAGAGATTCATTAGTTATTTTTGAAGATATTTATTCTCACCTCATGGCTTGGGCCTTTCAGAGGTTGTAACCTCACCTCTACTCATAAGAGTGTTACAAGTCCAGTATGCAACTGGGAAGCTGTTTCATTTGTGGGAAAAATACGGTGCCTTAGATGGGTAGTATGAGTTAGGAAGCTACTTAAGTGCTTAAAGGTAAATCATTCTCTGAATTCAAAGGAATTATTTGTTGAAGAGAGACTTGATCCTGCACAGCAAGAGGAACTTAACAGTAGAAGCAAATTAAATGCTTTTGTTTAGACTGTGGCCAATACTGTGATAATAAAATAATTTGCTAATGGGACTGATATAAAGAGAATTATTTTGTGACTGTGTGTAAGCCCAAAATATAATATGCTGATAAAATGAATTTCAGAATAATTTAATTCAGAAAAAAATCAGATGTGACTTTCTCTGACAGAAATATATGCATTTTTCCTACCTTTTGTTTTCCTCTCCCTGCTTAATGATGGAGTCTAGATAAAGCCTGATCTGGTTTCCTTGATTTACAATTTTCCTCTTTTTTCTTATTTTTTTTTAGCTAATTCTGGGGGTTTTTTTCTCATGTTATAGAACTTGCTTCTGCTTTACATCTGACTGTTCCCTGACTCTTCTGGGCTCAGCTAGAAAACAGCAGGCAAATACTCATCTCACAGCCAGTCTTCTGAGTAACACACTAGCTGAAAGGATCCCTCCATCTGAACTCTTTTTTTAAGGTCATTTCCAGCAATGAGTCAGATGTAGCGTGTGCAAGATCCACACTTTGCCTAATGAGGAACTTTTGCTGTTTGATATATGTGCCAACTTTGAATTTTATCTCCTTGTGCCAGGTTGGCATGTGGTACTCTTCAGGGTGTCACACTTGGTGGAATCAAGCATTGTTTGAGCTTTTGCTGTTCCTGAGCACTCCAAGGGTTTATCAGGAGCTTCAAATTTTTACAAAGACTCCCAGCATAGCCCTGGGTCTCTTATCCTGTCCAACCATGCTCCATTTTGAAGGCAGGCCCATGAACACAGCAGAGAGGAAATTAAGATAATTTTGAAGTTCTGTATTTCCCAAGTGGAGCTTTTTTTTCTCTTTGTAATATCCCTCTGCTCCAGGAGAGAGCAAGCCCTAAGTTAAGAGAAATCACAGATGCATAACTGGCTGTTCCCTCCTCAAAGAGGCAGCATGTTCAGCAAAGGTATTTTGGGAAAGGTGATTTATTTTAATTAATATCCATGATTGTGTTTTTAATTATTATTTCAGTAGGAAGGCTAAGACACCAGTTGGGAGTTTTCCAGGAAATAAATCAATGGTTACGGATTTAAGGCCTCTTAGTGTCTGTGATTCTTTATTCTCCTACGCTTACTTTTAATGCTCCTACAGTTTATTAAATGAACTAACACAGACTGACTGCATTTTCTCTCAGTTCAACAAATTCATTTAACCTGCTCATGCCAGAAGAATCAAAAAAATCCTTTGTCTAGTAGTCTGTTTGCTCAGACATCCACTTGGTGAGGATGGCTAGCTACATGAGACTGATGCCAAGTATTTACTGCGTTCAGTGATTTCTACACCTCTTCAGGAGTGAAGCTGTGGAAGTGAGATAGCTGGGCTTCAATAGGTCATTTTTCTGTGTTTCATCTGTGTGGTAACATTAAAAAAGACTTTTCCCCTGCTATCACTGACCTGTGCTAACTTCCTTTCAGAGTGATTAGTGTGTTCATGTGTTATTGTACTTCTACAGCTTATGTGTAAAGCTGGAGCCATTTACTCTAAGACATCAATGTAGGAAGCACTAAAATGAATAGTAGGGAAAAAAACAGAATTCTGGGAGAAAAAACATCTCAGAATTCTCTTTACTATAATGATATAACCAAGAATCTGGTTCACATTACAGAGATTTATCCAGAGGTATGCTAGAATTAAGGATCATTTCTTGACTTACAGAAATTAAATGGGATCAGTACAAGAATTTCCCACCAGAAATTCTTTAACCACTAGTCTGGAACCTGAAAGTTCCTTTAGTAAAACGATGAAAATCAAACCTACAATGATTTCTGTACAGAGAAATGGGCATGGCAAAACCCAAAATCAAAATTTCATCATATAATTCAGAAAGCTGAAAAAAGAAGGTTTATTTTTTGTGTGTGTTTTTTTAAAAATATGAGCCACTTATGTATTTTTAAAGGATTTGCAAAACTGTTTTTACAATACACTATTTCAGGGGTTTTTTCACTGTGGTGTTTTTTGGTCTTAAGACCTAGAATGACATTCACACTTTGCAAGATGTAGGAGTTGGTTGCTTATTTCCTGAAGACTGTAGAAAATTGTGTTGCCTTGTGGCAGAGCAGTCAGTCTGCTTAATTCTTTTTCTTAGGGATTTCCGCCTCCATCTGGCAATGGAAACACGCTGTTGTTGATTTTTAGAAGCGGGTCCATTCCCTTTTAAATTTGGGAATCCTGTGATTATTCTTAGTCCGTTATCAAGTACTTGCAAGGTAGGGAATAATTCCAAAACAAAATTAGTCACGGCAGAACTTACTGAATATTTTCTCTTTTGATATGAATTTTCTATATGCCTTAATACCAAAAAAACCTTGCACAACAGAAGAAGAGCCAGCCAAGAAATAGCTATTAACCAAACTCTGCTACTGAAGCACACTTTATTTACCACCCACAAAAACCCACAAAACCTCAGGACACCCTACAGGCATCACATTACAGGAAGCCAGCTCCTTTTAGCTGACTGCAGCGAGGATTTCATTGGAGCATACTGTGTCTTGTCTCCTTGCTTTGAGAGAAAATTCTTTCCTATGTGCTATTACAATACCTCATCTATATCGAGGCAGAAAAAGAAAATAAATAGAGAACACAGAAGGAAAAAGTAGTAAAATACCCCTACCATGTAGGAAACTTTTAGAGCAACAGAAAGTCCCATTCAAATCAACTTTGTTTGAGAGCTGAGAGCATCTATCTGCCTTCTCCACTAGGACAATACTTTTTGTCTATTTATCTTGCATCAAACATACAAGGAGGAATCACAGGCATACAAATAAATCTATTTCTATGCCTGACTTGCCAGAGCCTCTCTGTAATATATAAATGTACAAAGGTTACTGAGAAAACTTGATATGGGCAGACTGCATTTTGGCAGAATCCATAGCCAGCAGCAGCAGTCATAGGGATCTGGGATTTATGCTTCATTAGAACTGGCATAATGCCAGCCTGCCTGAAAAAGGACAGAGAGCCCTCAAGTAACCTACCTAGCAATGATGACTTTCAAAATTTCCTCTTTGGCTAGGTGGTTGAGCAGGTTACTAGCCTCATCCAAAGTGAATGAGATTTCTGACCTTCAGAGTGACTTATGAATTAATTTGTTCTGTATCTGGTGCTTTAGACTTGACCTAAGCACATTGATCTTATCCTGAAAATCAGCAAACACTGGATTATGGCAATCATCTTTTTATGACTTTCCCTGAAGCCCATTTGCAGAGTGTAGCTCATACAGAGTATGGTCACATGAGCATCTAAAACATTGGATCCCACACATCAGAACTTACCTCTTATTCAGTAAATATATGTTACATGGAAAGTTTTCACCCCAGCTCTGAAGGGGACTGCTTATCACTACTCTACCATGTAGAATCTTCACTGCTACAGGTGCTGGGAGAACCTAAGGGAATTATTTTTTCTTCCAGGACTCTGCATCTCTGGAATGTTCTCTTACCAGCTCTGACATCGGCACTGAATCATGATAGAATGGCAACGAACTGACTACAGGATATCTTTTCAAACCTCTTGTGATTGTTCTCTCCTACAAAGCTCAAACATGCCAGGTCTATGAGATCACTGATATGACAAATTAAACTGTGAAAAATCAGCCCCCGCCACCATCTTTTTCACATAAGACATAAAGGTCCAATCTCTAACCTATCTCAGTTCCTCTCTGGAGTGAGCCCACGGGTAAAACAAAGATGGCTTAAGAGCAGCTCAAGCTAAGCTGTCATATAGCTAACTGACAGATAACTTCCTATAAATGATCTTCCCTTTTCTAACCTCTTTTTTCAGAAGCTCTGATCTCAACGGTCTCTGGGTCCTCCTGGACATCTTGGCAGTGTGACATTTCAAAAGCCGGTTAAGAATAAGCCACTCCTTTCTCCTCATAATCAATATATTGAGTCTGATCTCTCTTGACACTCACAGGCAATGAGCAGCCTGTGCATCTGTGCCTGCTTACTATAACATAACGAAGAACAAAACTGTGCTGGGAAAAATTTTGAATTGGTAGTAAAATATAGTCTATTTTCTGAACATAAGGTGAAACAGATATTATGGTTGTTTCTCAGAACTGTGCACTTAGCAGAATCCAATTTCAAGTCACTTGTGAACATCAACTTTCTCTGTGAGAAAGTCTTTACTTACTAAGTTCATCATTCTCCTCTTGTCAAAGTCATGCTTTTGTGGAATAATAAAGCTGTTGGCTAAACTCTTTGATTGAATGCAAATGAATCAATTTTCACTGAAACTGGAACTAGATTGAGAGACTAGGACTCCTCCTACAGAAAGCAAGTCACTGTTTTAAGAGACAAATGGAAACACTACTTTTCTTAGTTTAGTTGCTCCCATAAAATTCCTAGACAGAGTTGCGTAGAATAGCCATTTACAGTTAAATGTTCATAAAAAACACCTGCGTCAGTCTGTTTCTCTTTTCTGGTTAGCAAGAAACACGGAGATGGTAACTAGTGCATTACAGGGATGAGACTGGCTTTGTAGATATAAAAACAGCTGGGTGGGGAGTTTTTTAATAATGTCTTTTTATTAATTCAAGCAGATTTATCCAACCGAATATACATACTGCATTTAGCTTTGCTGAAGGATTTGGAGTTTAAGCTTGCATTATTTCTGGCTGCTTTGGAATTTTGACCTGAAAATGTTTCCACTGACACTTCACAACACATTTTTCAACTTGCTGATGTTTGCTAGGGGACCTGTCCCCAAGTATTAAATGACAGTGACATTGGGGTAAACAAAAGAGCACTTGAATCTCTTCTCAGAGGAATTCCTAGTTGATTTCAGAACAGAATAGTAGAAACAGGAAGAAAACCAGAAATGGTTTCTGTTTTTTCTCAATTGCTTATAAAAGTCTAGTCCTTCCTGTAGATTACTGCCAGACAATTTGTCATGTTCTCTCACAGTTGTTATACAAGAAAACACACATACAAATGAGGTCGTTTGCTCACATATTTCTTGCAATACTGATTTAAATTCAAACAGCAAAAACTATGCTATAGAAAACAATGGTTGGAAAACAACTCTTACCTTTAAGAAATGTCTTCATTGAACTGCCAAGCTCTAAAATATGAACAGGAAAAATAATTGTGAGAAAGCTTTATTATCACTTTTTTCTTAAGTTATAGTCTTATCTGGAAGGGTTCTTTAGTAATAACTAGGCATTAAGTATAGTACTGCTATAACAAATTTTCTTTAACAAAATACTCACTATTGGCAGTTAGCTCCCTCTCTGTCTTCCCATCATCTTGATATTCATCTAACCATCTTTCATTGCAAAAACAAAAATAATAAGAATAATAAAAACTATTAGTATAGTATATATCATCTGACCATCACCTTTTGTATCCAATATAATTTTTATACACCTTTTATTAAGTTACACCTTGAAACTACTTCCAGGATCAAATTTTCTTTTATACCTTCAGCACAGTTGGCCTTATTCATATAAGAAGAACTTGGTTCAATGTGCTCCAGGCAAAGAAGAATTTTCATGGTAGCTGTATGAAGTGAGTAGTACTATATGGAGTACATTGTGTGAAATACTAATTATTTATTGGTTCAGAGACTCAGCTGTACATGTGAGGGAGTTATAAAACCTGCAGTTATTAGTTATAGTTATTGTACTTAGAATTATATATAAAACCTGCAGGTCTGGAAGTTTCTAAAACATTTACAGATCTGCAGCAACAAACTAAACTTCTGTTCTTACTTTATTTTTCTTTTATACTGGTGAATTTAAGGAGCTTTTCTGCAATATCATTTCACAGCAAACATACATTCATACTCCTTTCTGTTGAACCCGCTTGTTCATGTAATATTTCCCAATCTTTGACAGCCTCACTTATTTAAAAATAAATAAATACGTGCTCACTATCAGCTTCTATTCTATTGAATCCATGATTATGTTGTATCTGTTTAAACCCAAGATCCATAACACATTTCATTTCTTGTATGGAACAAAACTCTATGAATAAATCTCTTATGCATGAAGTCTAAACTCCATTATATTTCAGCTTTTTTGCAATAAATAGCTTGATTAACTTTTGAGACCTATCTCCTTATTCCATTCTAAGAAACAAAAGATCATGAGCAGTTTCTAAAAGTATAAAGCAACTTTGACAAAAACTGGACACAAGATTCAAGATGCAGCCTCACCAGTGCTGAGTGCAGGGGGCAATCACAGCCTTGGTGTGTACACTATTGCTGATCCAAGCCAGGTTGCCATTGGCCACCTTGGCCACCTGGGCACACACTGGATCACGTTCAGCTGGCTGTTGACCAGATCTGCCAGATCCTTTTCCACCAGACAGCTTTCCAGCCATTCATCCCCAAGTCTATAGCACTGCATGGGGCTGCTGTGACCCAATGCATCTCCCTCAGTGCCCTTGTGTGCATCACTTCCAGCCCAGTAGACTTGTATATGTCTGAGTGCTCCAGCAGCCACTGACTCTTTCTGCTTGGATTGTAGGGTACATTCTGCTTCCCACTCCTTTCTTCTAGCTCGGGGGGCTGGCTACAAGGAGAACTGGTGTTACTGTTGAAGACTGAGGGGAAGAAGGCATTAAGTGGCTCAAAGTTTCCTTCATCCAGTGGGTATTTTCTCTACTTGGTTACCTCACCAACTGTTAAGAGGTTCTCTTCCATGGGCTCCATGAACCTTCTAAACTCCTTCTCCTCCGCTGTGTTGTATTTGTAGTCCCTCACAAGAACAGCTGGCAATTGTGAGATTTCTTCCAGCTTCTCACATTAAATTTTGTCCACCTCTCCCTCCTGGTTGGCTGATCTGTAACAGACCCAGACCCTTCTGCCACGACAGTGGCCTTGCTGGCCTTCCCTCTGACTCTTAGCCATAAATGCCCAACTCTATCACCACCATCATCAAGCTCTAGAAAATCAAAATACTCTCTAACACACTGGGCTGCCTCACCTCCTCTCCTTCCTTGCCTCTCCCTGCTGAAGGGTTTATAGTCATCCATGGCAGCACTGCAGCTGTGCAAGTCATCCCACCATGTTTCCATGATGACAACTATGTCATTTCAGATCTTTACACAACACAATCTTTACACAATTCAGATCTTTGCAATACTTCTTAAAAGATTGAGAGCTGAAAGCTTATTTAATTTCACATAGTTTTTATATAATTCAGATAAAAAAAGACAAAACATCAATGCACCTTTCCTCTTATGCAACATTTGGTTTGGGACTTCTCTGCATTAGGCTGTTACTCCCTTCCATGCCAATACAGGAACCTTTTCCTTGTCTTCAGCTGCAATATTTTGCATCACTTGTATGTTGAAAAACTCTGGGGCATTGTTCAAACATCTAGTTTGTGTGCACATATCTGCTCTAAAATTCTTTCATTACATTGCTGGCAGGTAACAAATTCTTTTTCTCCATGAATGACATACCTATTACAAGGAAATACAACCTCGTGAGCTTCCTCTCCTTCTTTATGTTTGATGACAATCTTATCCAGGAACCATCCACTGCCTGTGTCGAAACGACAAAAGTTTATCATGTGAAATCATACGATTTTTAAAATAAATTTTAAGAAAAAAAGGCCAGATTATCTTTTTCTAGGAGAAACACAGATCATATTTAGACAGATCTCATCTAAATAAATAAGATATATTAACAGAATGAAAGCTTTATTATTTTTTGTCTCTCCTAAGAGATGCAATTCTTTTCTGCCTTTGCCTATTTTAATATTAAGAGGGGTGGGTTTTTTCCCTTGAAGACAAATACATACATACATCTCTGAACTGTCAACACCATTCACATCCCAGCCCACATCTTTTGATTATTCCCAGTAATCAGGCACAAGGATGTTGGGACAAATCTGTTTATGCCCATAATCAAGATTTGTGTGAAAGCTGGAAATTTTTGTCCTCTGTGAGTGAACTTCTTATCGCATATATAAAAAATATTAATTAACAAATCTTTAAGACTTATGACCTCATGTGCAAATGGAGTGGGGCTGCAGTCTTGGAGGGTTTTTTTATGTCATGGTGACGGTAACAAAACTTAGGATCTAAGGATCCAGAGCCAGCAGCCAGAAAGACTGACTGCCTAAAACCAGCTACTGGAGGCCTTATATATCCATCCTGTACTTATTTTTTTGTATTTGACATTGATGGACTGTTGTTCTGCTCAACTGGAGAAGGTAATAGGGGAAGGCCACTTGTACTGTTTGTGTACATGCCGAGTTTCTGCCTGTGTTGATCTGCATGGCCAGCTATGTGCACACAGCTGTGTTTTAGAAATGTGTTTGTGCTCATGTCAGTGGGGAACACACATTCAGTCTTGCTGCTATGAAACCAGCAGGCATGGGGCTGTGCAGTCTCATTTCTGCTGGACTACTGAGATCATCTTTTCTCTAACTGCAGTAACAACTGGCATATCCATGCTGATCTTTTAGATAACTTCTAGTGACCATCCTAATGACTGGTCTGGTTGTCCTGTGACTCCCTTCTCAAATATGCTGTTCTCACTGTGCCTGCACCACTCTCAACTTGTCATATTGCTTTTATGAAGTTTCACCTGATTCACACCATTATCCATCAGCACATTGCAGCAAAACGGCATGCAGGATGATTTGATCAGAAACAACCATCTTATTTATCCTTATGCTTTGCCTCCTGGCTGCATCTGAGTCTGGAAGTCCCTAAAAGGCAGCAGTCTCTGCCACATAGAAAGGGCATCCTCAGGTAGTGCATGGAGTAAACCCTGCTCTCTAGGACAAAAGTCCTTCACTTTCCTCATTCACGGGAGCTGTGGGAGTAAATCTGTGCCCTGCAGCCTGGGAGCCCCAAAGAAAACATATGTTCTAGGATCCTTTCAAGACAGACTCCAAATCAAGAATTAAGACCCTCCTGCCTTGTCACTCAGGCAAGTGATGAGAAAAAGGAGTACCCCACCTCTGAACGAATCCTCCTTCCTCCTTCTCAACGCCCAAAATCTTGAGTCTCTCTCTCTGAGCCACCATCTTTTCCCAGCTCTCAACCCCTCAGTTGTCTCAGGCTAGGTTTATGTGGGGCTAGCCTTAGATACAGTTCAAAAGATGTCTGTGGGATCTGTCTGTGCTGAGTACAATCAACAACCTTCTGACTTACCAAGGCACACATTTTGTTACAGATAGAATTCAATCCATTGTCCTGTTTAGACAGCCTTTCAAACCCACACATTTGAACTCCAATGTCAAAAAACATCTTGAGATAGCTGAATTGGGTTACAGATTTGTAATGCTGATCCTGCTGATCTGTACTGCTTGTTAAAGGACATATCAGGGAAGAGAGCATGGCACGGTGCTGTGGGGAATAGAGGGAAGGTGGGCTCCACAACAGTGCCTTTTGTGTTATGTCTGGGGTTAGTACAATGTGAAACTTTCAGGTGTACAATCATCAGTGTTGCTGAAGGCAGCAAACTCTATGGAGCTACAGGAAACAGGATTACACACCATTCCAAGGCTGCACTGTTATGGCTATTTCTGTAATAGTCACAAGCCTGTTCAGAGCCCAAGGCAGTACAGACAGAAACATGGGCATTGCTTGGGGCTGTTTCAGAACAGAATGGGGTAAAAGGGCTTTTCTAATCTATTATCAGTGCAGCCCTGAACTGTCAAAAATCCCTCTCTTCACTTAGCTTCTTCCTAGATATTAATCTGCAAACATATTTGCAGTATTTACATCTTTGGTGCTTTTAAATGCTACTCTTCTCTTCATTTACATCATTCCAGGGAGATGTACACTTCTTCAAGGGCCTGCACCCAAAAATTCATCTCATTACTAAATTCTTTCTTCTTTCCTCAAAAACCTACAAGCTGAATGCAATGTCACTCACTGGAAAAGCTTCACATTGTCTTTCACAGATCAAATGTATAATCAAGTCTTCTACAACTGCCCAAAGCAGTGAGGACATTGTGTTATAGCTACTCAAATTTTGTCAAGTAACAAATCAGCTGCTGAATATTATTATTCCTTCCTGGATAGTTTTCACTAGTTTGTTTAGTGAAAGTTGTCTTACCAGTGTGAGCCACACTTTTGAGAGTTTTCTACATGCAAATAAATAGTGCTCTCTTATAAATAACTGTGAAAACAGAGAGTAGAATAACCACATATGACATTAAACCCATGCCCTTTTTTCTGTCCATTACCACAGTTTTTCATCATCTCATCACAGTGATCAACCTGCAGGAAGACTTTTATCACTGCAAGACCTTCTGTCACATTTTCTATGAAGGATGCAGCATAAACAAGTGCATTGGGTTTAAAAAGGACTTGAAAACAGACTGGTCTCTAGGAAATTAAATCCTACCTGGACCAGCTCCATCATGGCTAATCAGAACTTTCTCCAAGTCTCCCAGTGAGACAGCCTTTATGCAGAAAATATCCATCTGTGGAACCACACAAGGAAAATTATAAGGGTCTTAAACATAGCTACTGCTTTGGCTCTAACATTATAGAAAAGCTTTTTTTAAAATATTTTGTTTGTTTGTTTGCTTTCAAAATGAATATGTGAGACAGCCTTTATGCAGAAAATATCCATCTGTGGAACCACACAAGGAAAATTATAAGGGTCTTAAACATAGCTACTGCTTGGCTCTAACATTATAGAAAAACATTTTTTAAAATATTTTGTTTGTTTGTTTTCAAAATGAATACAGTTGGTTTATATTCATCCTGGCCAAACAGGGAGGATCCTTTAAAACTTTCTAAGGTAAATAACACCTGCAAATTACTCCAAAAAGGCAGCACTGATACCTTTGGCATGACACAATGATCAGTTTCAATTACTTGGTTGTGTCAACATTATATTTTCTAGCCCTATGTGCCTCACCAAATTTGGAAAACATACTTAGGAATACTGATTTAGAACCTGATTCTAAAATCTACAGTGATCTGTTCAGGACAACAAAAATTATATTGTTATCATTTTATCTATGTGTTCAATACAAATAACCAAAATGCCCAAATTCTAATGTCTAAAGCTCTCAGTAAATGGTTGATCAAGCAGATAAAAATTATCTATATGATGAAATTATGTAAGGAATTATGAATAAGGAAAGTGGTCAATGCTTGAATAAACCTTGGAAATAAAAAGATATTTACATTTCTTGATGAAACCATTTTATAGCCATAATTTATTCTTATTTATCAGAAGCAGCATTGTTTTTACTTCACCTGTCCCTGTCGAAACTTAACATTATTATTCTTAGATCTGTGGAGCTTCCTTTTGCCAGCATCTCCTCTTGTCCCAACGATGTTTATATAAACATTGGAATCTGTTTCAGCACCAAGTTTAGCACCTGTGTATACGTGGACCTCATACACCAACACTACAAGAAGAAAAAACTTGAGATTATCCTTGTGAGCTTGTACAAGATTCCAAAGTGTCCTCACCAAAATTTTTCCAGAAAACTCTACTGATTTTCAAGCTTGCAAGTAGCAACAGCTATCCATGAATTTGTCACTTCTAGGTACAAATCTTTTAATTCTCTTCACAAATAATATGAAAACACTAAGCTTAAGAAAACCACATTATGCTGAGCACTGCTATGCATTGCTAGTTCGAAGTCTTTCTTTGCAATTTATCTGGAGACCACTGAACTATATCAAGTCATCACCTGAAATAAAAGCTGCTTTTCACTGAAAATACCAAAGGTTTTTTAACCTCCAGATTTACATGAAAAATTATTTGGGGTTTTAACCTTTGTTTCATCTGTTAAGAGAGGAATAACAATCACAAATCCAAGGGGTTTTAGATTTTTGACCCACATACAATGATGGGCCAGTAGATGAACAGCTCCCACACCTATAAAAAATGAACCTTGCTTTTTGAAGGTTTCTACATCTGTCACTAGTGAATGATTGGTCTTCCAAAAACAGCTCTCAGTTAAAATATATTTACAACTTTCTAAAGCCTCCCCTTATAGTCTAGACCAAAGTCTTACACACAAAAAATATATACATCTTCAAAGAATTCTGCAATATAATTTAGAATTACTGTATTAAGATATTCTATGCCACACTAATATTATTTTTATTACTATCAAGATGTGCCAATTTATTTTTTAAAAATTCTTTGCAGTGATCATGTACTATTATGCTTCATTTCAGTTTTTCTCTCTGTAACTTTAAAAAAGAAAAATTCCTGATTTCATTTTAATGGCAATTTTTCCATGCAGTGTTTCCATTCTAATCACAGCTGGCCATTTCTGCTGCCTTGTAGATCACAGGGAAGATTACTGTTTCATTTATGTGTAATTTTAACAGTTCTTGGGAGTGAAGAAAGGTAATAGAAGTCCTAGAAAACAAAATTAGTTCCTTTTAAGAAGGAACGAAGATGAAAACAGAATATAACAAACCAGAATATAACATAATATATAAAACAGAATATATATGTGTATATATATAAAAAATCTACAGTTACAATGTAAAGTATTGAAACTGGACAATACTCTACAAAAACTAGTTGAAGTACTGTTACCCTTAAACCACCAGATAGCTACTGTTATCTGACATTTCCATACATTTTTTATTCACTGGTTTCCAAATCAGCTTATAAAACTCAAACACCATGTTGTCCACCATCACTGTAAAACAGCTACTCCAGATTCCCAGATGAGAAGATAAACAAGTAGTAAAATAATACTGTAAATATTTGAGGGAGAAAAATATCACCACATACATTAAAAGATAGGAGAAATGTTTGGATAGACTCTATACTTAATCAAATTAGGGTATTTCTTTCAATCTGCGTAAAATTATCTGAAAACACTGTGTCTCCAACTCTTTATGACTATTACGACTGGGACTGTGAATGGAAGTGGTGTTCCTTGACCAATTTCATTATTTTCTGTAATTCCAAGTACTCATTGCAGCTCTAACATTCCTGTATTAATGTACCAACACTGCTTGTGAAGTATAAATGATCTCAGTAATACACATATATCTTCAAAAATTTGAAGTGCCTTATAAAAACTAGTTTCAAGGTCTTTAATATTAAAAAATCATGATAAAACAAATTATAGATATGAATAGTGAGTAGCAAAGATAAATTGACCTGATAATTAGCATAATTGAGCTTTATATCCAAATTACATTTTATATCATAACTGCTAATATAATCATAGCTGGCCAAAGGGCAGAGGATAAGGGGTGGCAGCAAACTATGACAGACAAACATGCATAAAAGCAGAGCCTTGCTGATCATGAAGGGGCAAAATCTTTAGGAGTGAGAAAGGACAGAATTTACACTTCTGTAAAAAAACCTAAAAATTATAATAATCTGTGACCAGAAATTTTAATAACAGGGCTGCACTACCCATGAAGCAAGATGCTGCAGGTGGTAAAAAAAGGGACATATTGACTTCAAGTTTCCTCCACATTTTTACATTCTTACTTTCTAGTTTCTTGGTTTTGAAAATGCAAAATATCTGTGGGAGGAAAGGAAAGGGTATAGAGTGTTTATGTTATGATTGTTTACATAGAAAGACTAGTATTGCTTACAACTACAAGTAATTTCCATGATCAAAAATAAAAAATTTAAGTAACTATAAGCACAATTTTAAAGCATATTCAATGGTGGGGTTTTTTTTTTTTAAGTTTAACAATAAATGTTTACAAAAACAAAATACCAACAAGTCTTTTTATGGAAGGAGAAGAGAACAAGAGGTAATTATAACAAAACACAAAGATATTAACAGATAAATAAATTGTACTACATTTTGTAGCACTGTGCATCTCTGTGGTAACCAGAGAGACGATAATGATCTAATCATTAAATAGAGCTTTCCTCTGCTACCAGCCTAAATAAATCAGTCTGAAGTAGACAGCATGCACATCTTGAAATGTAAAATACTGGAAAATATTTTCCACAGTTTCTTGCATCTATACATCCCTCACCATCTGTAAAATGCTAGGTCTGACATTTATTTAAGCTACACAATCTGCATTATTTATATAGGAATCTTTTTAACAAAAAAGACCAGTTTGTGCTTTAATTTTTTCTACAAATATAGGCTACTACAATACAGGCTATTATATTAGGATAATAAAAGGAATGTTTGCACCCCTTGAGTATATGTTATAATGCATTTCATAGGAATCACACAAAAAATGAAGCAAGGAAAATATTGTCCAAAACACACATACCTAATTAGAACATGGTGAACATGGCCACTATAGTGAAACACCTGCATATTCCAAAAAACATTCACTAAATAGATTGTGGACATTAAGCCTTTTCTGTGCAAATGGAAACCTAGGCACAGACCAGCCTGAGAGGATTCAAATTGTTCAAGTTTTATCAAGCAGTTCCTCTAGATTGCAGAACAGATACAAAAGGTGCTAGTGCTAATGGCTCCTGAGCAATCTTTAGATTGCTTAAAGCAAAGAAAAAAGTGATGATGCCACTCTGTAACACATAAAACAAGGTACAACAATTGTTTGATGGGACAATACAACCAAATCTGGAGAACAAACCTGCCCATCGAATGTACTGCTGAGACAAAAAAGACTCACCATATGTGAATTTTTTCCATTCGCAGTTTTCTGTATATTGCTCACAAAACACAGTTTTCTGTGTGAGAGTAAAGTGAAATAATCCTAGATAATGTGTTCAGCCTCTGAGACTGTGCTTTCACTTCTTTTGAGTAACCAACCTATTCTAAGGCCCCCATGGCAGGCCCATCTGCAATGGAGACCTCCTTCACTGCAGGAACAAAAAGCCATCCCAAAACTCTGAAAATTAGAAATGTATAGCCTGATCCCCTATTCTGTAGTAGTAATTTCATTTTATTATATACTGATTCAGTGAAACTACACCAGTTATAAACTACGGTGACAAAACACTCAGAGAGAGGTAAACCTATAGGCAAAAAAAAAAAAAAGACAAAAAAAGTTGAAAATTATTTCATAAAAACAGCCACTTAACAGAAGTCAGGAAACAGTGTTTCAGCACTGAGAGGGACCTGTGAGACTCACACCTAGGCATCTGTCCAATGCGGAGAACATCAAAGTAATAGAAGAAATGTCTTGGAAAACACAGTAACTGTGATAAAGGATATAAGAGGATTAATTAATACAGAATAGTAGGAAAAAAAATCTCAGCTAGCACTCAGTAAAAAAAAAAATCTTTCAGAAAATAAGTGATCGAAATCTTCAAATTGCTCACAGAGTAACCTTAGATAAGCTCTAGAAACCAAACAGAAAAATCTGTGACATGGATACATGGATGAAGCAGATGAAAAAGAGAACAAGAGTGTATTCAGACAGAGGTGAGGAGTTTCTAGAAAAACTTTATTTTTTATACTTTATACTACTTTAAAGTAGTATAATAACTGTGGTAAAAAATGACAGAACCAAATATGTAAAAAGTACTGTAGAGTCATACATATGAGCAGCCAAGTGTACTAGTACCAAATTTCCTGTCACTCAGCCTATAAAAATGCTGTCTCTTGAGATACTATCATGAGGCTTCAGGAGTTTTTTAAATTCCCAACTCCAGCTTCTGGCATCTATTGATAACATAAGAAGTGAACTACCTTGAACAAAAGAGGAGAAAGGAAGTTTTTCTGGTTATGAAGAAGAGGTAACCTACGGGCGTACTAAGGGTAATAGAATGTGAGTTAGGGAACACTTTTTTTCCAGATTTCCCATTTTGGGCATCTGAATCAGGGTTTCCTATACAGAAATTTTGTATATACCTGAGCCTTCACCAATGACAAGAGATAGTTTGGCCCCAGTTTGCAGACACAGTATATAATTATCAATTCCTTTTGAAGAAGTAATGTACAGAACTCAGTGACTTATGACACTTGCCTTTGGAAAAATATAAATAGTAAACAAATACCTCCAGTTGCTTCATGCTAAAGACTAAGTTAATATGTTGATATATTTTGGGAGAAGAAAACAAACCTAATAGAATTAAAGAAGAATTTATTATTGAGAATCTGAAAATGAGGGTTTTCACGGCAGAAACTTTGGTCTCTTTCTTTTGGTACAAACTGCTGTTGCATTGTCAGGTCTTTTCAAAGTAATTCCACTAAAAATACAGTAATTATTTAAGAATTCTGGCTAGGAGCAAATGAATTGAAGATCCACAGCTGTCTGTGCCTAATGACAGTGGTTTGCTTACAACACTGCTGAATCCCCTGGCTGGCTCTACTTCCTTCTTTCTGGTGTGCAGCATGGAGTAGTTTTAGAGCAAAGAACTAGGTCCTTTTTGGATGAAACTACGCCAGATAATACATTCCAGGAACACAATGACAACAATCTTGACACAAACTGGCAGTCAGTCTGAGGGAACAGACTAGAACAAGCCTGAAGTAACTTC